CATTTTGACGTTTATAAGAGGCAGTAAATCAACTAGCCGTGTCGGATCGTACACTTGCCTTTAAAAACAAATTTGTCATACAAATTTTTAAAGTAATATATCTGAAAAACAGCTTAAATCTAGATAATTTAAAGGAGACTTCTCAGGTATCTCTTATTGCTTTCTTCCGACACAATTAATGCATCAAGCTGAACTAGAAGAATTTGAAAATCACAAAATTGGCTCCGGCAACCGACCATTTTCGGCTATTTCTTACATCACTTCTAAAGAGAACCCTCTATCCTATGCAGTACTGGACAATTTGGACAAAAAAAAATACTTTTCTCCAAAAATCAGCAGCGATTCGCAAGGGAAACGATATTAAAGCGTTGAAATTGAGAGGACTCTACTTTTTCAGGCCTACATGCAGTTCTCGGGTCTACAGGTGACCTCCTGGGTGGTGGTCCTGCTTGGCACTGGATGCCTAGTCGGCGCATTGATGACCGACTTCTGGTCTACGCATCATCCCAGGCACTCTATAGGTATATTGGTTTATCAGATTACCTTGTTTTGTTCGTCTTTTGAGAGCTTGTTTCGGGTTGGCTTCGCAGCCACCTTAATCTCTTAAATCGATGTCTAGACAACCTCCGGATGCACCGCGGCCTCTTCAAGCAGTGCATCACCACCGTGCACCAAAGCACCTGCCAATTTCGGTTCACCAATTTCATGGAGCGTCTGAACCACTATGTGGAGATGGGGTTTACCCAGAGAAGCATGGCTTACGAGCAGCAGCCCGTGCAGCGTGAGTGGAAATTGAAGAATTCATTCGCTAAGAACACCTTTAAAATCCGGGTGAGAAAAATAGAGATAGTTCGAAGCAGCTGTCACTCTGCCTTTAAGAAGTTCTGACGAGACTGCCCCTTCAGAAACGAAAATCCAAGCAAATCCACTCAAAATTGAAGCGGTAGTTAGGAGTCGCATGTAGCTGTCGGCACACAGTCAATGGAATTCGGTCGCTGGCACTTCGGTGCCTTTAAAAGTGACTAGCGTTTTTTGTTTTCAAAATTCTTGGCTGTCTGTATCCCCTTCAAAACGATCAGTTCCGATTGAATTTGCTGAATCTCTTAAAAATGTCTATTCCAGGTTTTGAAATCAGCATAGCCAGCCTGCTGCTCCTAGCCCAGGCCCTTGCAGCTTTCGTCCTCATCTGCGGCCCGTATTTCTGCAGCAAATGGCGGAGAATTGTCGATTTGGATGACTGCAATTATCGGTAGGAAATTTGGATTTAAACAATCGTGGAAAAGTCTAATGTTTCTACGAACAATAAACAAAAAATTTCAGGTCTATTGACCGGAATCAGGTTGCCTGACGTACTTGAAGAAAAATTCTGAGGGGGAAACGTTTACGCTGCGACAGACGATGACGATCTATCAGGACGTCTTTAACTCGGATTTTGTGGGTTTTTCACAAATTTTGATGTGGTTGTCAATCGATCACGCGTTTTAACTCTATAGAAAAGCAACTTGGGCCTGAAATTTTCAAACAATTTTAAGGCGTATTATCCTTCCTAACGTTAGTTCCAGGTAAAACCGCGCCAAAAATTTTAATTAGATTTTGGAAATTAATTTACGACTTTTTTAGGGCAGCGATATCAACGACCTGTCCTGGTCTTTCTATCTGGCGACCCTGGCTACAGTATTCTTCTTCGCGGCCGTGCTGTTGAACGGCTGCTCCTGGCCACCCGTTCAATATGAAGCCGTTAGCGTTGTTTGAGAAATATTGAATTCCTATCTTCTTTTATGCAAAATTTAAAAATTGTGACGTTTTACGAGGTTTTCGAGCTGTACTTCGCCGCACCACCGCACTTGGCGGCTTCTAGGCTAAAAGAAACTACAACATATTTCGTTTTATATTCAGCTCGAAAATTTTGATTTTCACTTTAAAATGCTTTGCAATGGTTAATCCGCTGATTTCAATGTTTTAATGCTAACTCAACTAAGTACAGTCCTCAGACTCCTCTCCTTCCCCATAATCAAAGACGAGTCGCACTTTACGGGTTTTTACAAATGTCTCTTCGAAACCATACTATCAAAATACTTATCAATTTTCTGAACCCAGTGTTGCTATCCAAATCTGTACTGTTCTATTTTTGTGTGCCAATATTTTTTCTTATAGCAATAAATTGTTTATAGAATTCAGCGAATCAGCATAAAAATAAAAACAAGAAAAACACGAGTAAAACCCAGAAAAAATGTGCAATATCACATGCGTAGTAAAGCGTAGTGAAACGTAGTAGTATCGCGTAGTAAAAACGTAAAAATTTGGTCGTTCGGAATCCGAGAAGAGAAATCACCTGTATTTCCGGGGTCACTAGAATGGGGAAGGAATTGCACTTGAATGAAGAAAAATACAAAAAATTGCGATATTTTATATTTATATATTAGATAAAGTCTAAATTGACAATTTCAAGGCGATAAATCAATATTCATAAAATACTAGCTTTAAAAAGAGCACAAAAATCAATAAAGTAAGCTCGATGTGTGTTTTCAGACAACCGTAGACTTTGAGAAGTGGTTGATCGGGGCCAGGGCTCGAATATTCAAATCTGGATCGGCGAAATCGGCCGATAACACGCTGTCAGTGTCGTTGGTGCTCTGCCCGGCTCGAATAAACCTAAGCGAATGGCTTTAAATTTTTATGTACATTGTTTGGTTTCTAAAAACCTGATTTTCGAAGGCACATCTTTAATTTCGCTATAACTTATCGGTTATGAGTTAAAAGTTAAGCGATTTACAAAATTAGTTAATTTTATTTCATAGACGCTGTAAAAATTTTGTAGATTATTCGTCTAAAAATTAAGCTGAATTTAATATAGCATTGACTTCGCAATTTTAACTCAATATCACTTTACTCTAGCTATACCTTCCATTACGACTGGAAAAATCAGCATTTTATTGTATGAAAACCAACGTAAATATCCTCCTGAATTTTCTACGTATACAGAAATCCAAAAATCTATTTTAAATCCGTTTTTACATGATTTCTTTGAATTCTACTAATTGCTGCGTTAAATAGCGTTGCTTTAGTAATTGTTGCCTAGTTAATTAAAATGTTAGCTTTGAATGCTGGAGTTAGGATTCCTGGTGGGAAAATTTTTGGCGTGATTAAAAAAATAATTTGAAAATTTGAAATTTTAAAAGAAAAATATTTAAAAAAATTTGATTTGCATATCCTCTTAATTGTTCGAGATGCAAAAACACAGTAGTAGCTTGCGAAAATTGCAGAAAAGTCTTCTTGCCATCAAGATTTCCAGTTGCTAGCTACCTGCCTGTGGCCTGATTCCAGGACTGCCAGGGGCAGGCGGATAGCTCCCTTCCCTTCATCATTCCCCCCAGTCGCCCCTTCTCTCGGCCCATGTAGTATAGTGGTTAGTACTCCACGTTGTGGCCGTGGCGACGGTGGTTCGATTCCACCCATGGGCAACTCTTTTTGCTTTTTGGGGGAATCACATGGGATCGGCCCCTTGATACCTGGTTACTATTTTTAAGTATCCCTCACCTTCCTAACAACGGTACACTCCCGAAACACTTTGTGAAAAACCCGTCCCAGAAGCGGAAGGAGCGGAACATCCTCGGCAAACAATGCCAATTTTGGAACGCCGGCGGCAGGGCTTTTCCGAATTTGTTCTAGGTCTTGTCATCTTAAAAAGCAACATTTTCGTACCTGTAAGAAGTTGATAGTCACTATCACTCCGACGAGAGCGCAAAGTTCACAGACGAAAAGTATGACTAGGAAATCTGGGCCTAGGGATAGGGCAAAAATGATGGCCGGCAAGATGACGAAAAGGCCGAGGATGTAGACGATGATGAACCAGCGGTACTGTAAGTTGATTAAAGGACGTAGTTTCGTTTAAGTGAGAAATCGTCTGGCTTTCTCTCTCTCTCTTTCTCTCTCTCTCTCCCTCCCTCTCTCTCACCTCAGCCGTCGCATTTCCGAGCCTCATACAGAGGAAAATAGGGATTTTCCGTGTCCATGGAATCACATAAAACATTAGGGTACCAATTATGTTGTAGATTACAGAGCACATGGCCATGTGAAGAGTTCTAAAACCAGAATAGATGCTTAATAAGCTTTTCAGAATTGATAAACGCAAAAATGATAAAATTCCTTACTTTTCAAATCGTGTCTCATCTGCCGACATTGCTGCGATAACCCCAGCAAAGGTGGCTCCGATGTTTGAGCCGAGGGTTAGTGGGTAGACCTTAATATGGTAGATATTTAAATTGTTAAATCCATTTAGGTATCGAAAAATTAAAATGATAAAATCCTCACCTTTTCAATGAAATAACACCAATTCCCACTAATGGCGTTAGAGGAGGACGAGAAAATCGAGTTAGATTGCAGCTAAAATCGACCATTAACGTCTTAATTTAGTTTTAGAGACGGTTCATTCAAAATAAGGCAAGTTAACTTACCAATAACGTCACTACCATCCCGATAAACATAATAATATATCCGGTCAGCCATTTAAAGGGCTGGGGCACTTCTTTGTCGAGTGCTTTTCGTAGTGGGACGGCCAGGCGACCCGAGAGCATTTTCTAAGAAAGCTTTCGTCTCTTCCCTCTCTCTCTCTCTCTCTCTCTCTTATCTCGACAAATCAATAATTCTTACCGTAATCAAGTGTACAATCCCGCAAAGGCAGCAAATGAGCGCTATTACAGAGCCTACGACTACGATCACTCCTATCGCCATATCGCCGATAGAAGAGTAGGCGAAAATGTGCTTGTAGGGGCCTAAAGTGGCATCTAAATCTGAAAGACGCTTGGTAGCTTTCGTATCTCATTAAGGTCGAAAATACCCACAATTAGCTATCCGCGACCCGTTGGCAAAAACACATCGGCTCACAAAAGAGTGGTCAGGTGGAAAGCTTTCTCTGGCGATAGTAGCGTTTCGGATTTCTACTTCATTGACCTGAAGAAATCGAAGATAAAGAGAGAGAGAGAGAGAGAGAGAGAGAGAGAGAAAGAGCGTCCTACCTGAAGTATCAGCTTATTAAACGGATCTGTCAAGTAGTCCAACGTCTTGAAAGTCACCCTTTTCTGACACTAACGGATCCACGATTTTCCAGCTCAATTTTTCGATTGCACCTAAAAATAGGCTAAAAGCCAACTTGCCCAAAAACAGTAAAAAAGACATATCCAAATTATAAAAAACTTACTCGTCGCAATCTCAATCGGCAAGATTACGACCAAGTTGCAAAAGTTGAAGACGTCAGGCAGGGTAGCTGCAGCAAAAGCTCGTCTAAAAGAACCGTGAAATTAGAATCTATAGCTTTACCGAAACTGTTCTTTATCCCCCGAATACGCCATCGAGACAAAAGAGTTTACCATACTCGAGCCCAGCTCCGAGCCGATCATGACTGGGATCGCTGTGTGGACGGTGATCACTAAAATGGCATGTTTTAAAGGGTGCCAAGCCAAAAAGCTACTGTAACTCTAGCAAACGCGAAAATTTGACTTGCTGAAAATCAATCTTCCGGACCCTTGAAAATGCGGCTAAAAGCTGATCAAGATTTATGAACAGCAGAATTCTGAATTTATAATGTCAGAAAAGGAGAATGGAAAATTAAAAAATCCGCTGATTATTATCGAAAAAAAGCCTTCCCAGTCCCTTTATAACTCACTATTCGCTGCCACCATACTAACGAGTACGGTCACAGTGGCTGTAGGACTTTGAAGAACTACCGTAGCCACCATGCCGAGGATGAGACCGGAAATTGGGTCCTGGATCAGCGGGCTGTCCTTGATGACTTTTCCTGAAAAATGACGGCGATTTGATGCCGTAATGGAGTCGTTATTTCGATGTTACGATAATGTGCGTTACGCTACGATGAATCTAGAAGCTTTAGAGGTAGAAAATGCTTTACGAGAAAGGTTTAGGTAGTAGAAAAGAATTTTGTAATTTGTAACCTGGATGGATGCATTTATTGATTATTTATTTGCGTTAATCTGCGTCCTAGCCCTTTCAAAACAGCATGAAAATCAAAAATTAATTTTTAAACATCGTTTTGACTTTTCGCTATGAAAGAAGAAGAATACGACACGACAGGCTTTTCAAAAAAAAAAACTTAAGACCCAAAATTCTGCCTTCACAATCCCTTTAAAAACAGCAAAAAATATCGAAAACTTACCAAGCCCAAAGCTTCCTATCAGACTAAACGCCGTCGCGATCTGGGCCAGCGCGCAGATGTAGACGAACAAAATAAGGAGCACGGCAAGTCCTCTCGTAATATTGGTGATGATGAAGGTCCGCTTTTCCTTCGGATCCAAGTCTAAACGCATGTAGCTCATTTCAATACCAGACGCGGCATGATTGAAATAAATCATATTTTGATCGGGTGAACAGTTCAGAGTAAATATTTACCCTTCCACGGGGTAAAGTGGAGCTGCCCGTTCGCATTTTTATCAGTTTTGGCTTCCGTTGAACGGTGGAGGTTGCCCTTTGGCGGTTGTTGCTCTCTCGCCGGAAGTCGGCGGCTTTTATCGGCATCCGAGACCTTCATATAAGGAAACTGGAACTAGTGATTTAGCTTTATATTCTTAAAATAAATAAAAACAGCGAGCGAGAGAGAGGCGGAGAGAGAGTGAGAGAGAAAGCGAGAGAGGGCGAGAGATGTCGAGTCATGGCGAGAGAGAGGGGCGAGAGAGGGAGAGTGGAGAGAGAGAGAGAGTGCGTATGAGAATTTGAATTAAGAGAAACAGCGAGAGCGAGAGAATGAGGGAGGGGGAAAATGAGCATGAGCAGGCTAGCAGAGACCATTGTAGAATCCCGAAAAAAAAATTTTCATAACGACAAAAATTCCAAACATCATTTTTGTAACAATCGAAAATGACGAGTCCGCGAAGCGCACGTCATTAAATTGGAAATTGGGAGGAGGGTTGGCACGTATTTTTTGGGATTTTGGCGCTGATTGGGATGGGTTTCGGGAGGATTATGTGCACTTTGAAAAACCACCTTTGCGAAGCAAAAAAATGTCATTAAAAAAGCAGAATAACACCAAAAAAGGAGATATGGTGAAGTGAACGGTGAAGTTTTCAGCCAAGAAATGCTGCTAGCCTGCGTGTTCCAGTTTGAAATTCGGATATGAATACCAAAAAAATAGTAGGAAAAAAATAGAGACCCCTTAAAATTTGGGCATCAGCTCGAAAATACAGCTAAAATCTTCGGTGCTCAGCCGGTTTCCGGTCAGCCCCAGGATCTCTAAAGAACAGCGTGTCTGGGTGCTTGAGGGGATCTGGGGTGGGGTTTACCATCGGAAGAGTGGGTGGACACATGCGTATGCAAATATTCTGAACACGCCGCAGGAGAAGGGGAACACCATCCCTCTGCTGCGGGTTTCGAACCAAAGACAAACAATTTCCCCCCGGCGAAGGGGTCAATTGGTTTCGCGCGATTAGAACCCTCCTCTTCTAGGGAATATTTGCAATTTGATAGGCAACCGGCCCAATTCGATACAAGCATGACTTTCAAAAAGCCCTGGGAGGAACAACTTCATTGGAAGGTGAAGTTTGTTGCATATTTTTGACTTTTCAAGATGCTAGAGTGTAGTCTGTAGTTTTCGGAATAGCATTGCAAAACGCCGAGGGAACTAGAGGGACATAAATTGTGAGAGAAGGGAGTAAGGGAGCGAGCGAGCAAGCGGGCGAGAGAGAGAGTGAGAGAGAAAGAGAGTGTGAGGAGAGAGAGACGGCGAAGAGGTTTGAGAGGTGAAAATTCTCGATTTCGCAAACTGTAATTTAGTTTTAGGTATAGGATTTGTAAAACTGATTTTTCGAAATTATCCAAAATTAAGAGAGAAAGAAAGACGGAGGGAGGAGAGAGGGAAGAGAGAGAGAAAGCAGAGAGAGGAGAGAGGGAGAGAGAGAGAGGGGAGGTGGAGAAAGAGAGACGGGGGGGGGAGGGAAAAAAGGAGAAGTTAAAGTGGGGGTAACGATAAATATAGATTTTTTTGAGCAACGGACGAATTAACATTAACGTCAAGCTAATTTTGGCCAATAAAAACTAACATGAGCCGCTGGCTACTATTATCTGGTCGACCAGGGCTAGGGTATAGCTATGCTAGGGTGAGGTAGGCATTGTCGGGTCGGGGCACATTTCACTTTTCGACGAGTTGAGGGGGCAGTGGAACTCGATTGGTTGCAGCTGGTATTGGTACTAGTACTTGCCGTATTCGGCCCCCGGGCATGCATGGTCAATAAAAGCGGCGCTAAGCTACTGGAATTTATGTCAAAAGAGGTGAAAAATATTTTCAAAGTCGTGTTTCCCAAAGCGCTAGAATTTTCTGAAATTCATGCATTTCTTGGGCTTACGATCGGCTTTTCATCAGTTGATGGCGTTTCGAAAGCTACAGCACCAGACTAATCAAAATCCGAGATTCTCGAGCAATCCAGTATACTGCGAGCTCTATTTATGCCCTTAACTAATGGTTACCACTCTCTTTAAAACCCAGTCTAGCATGACTAATCATCACGCAACAAATATCTAACACCACGGCTTGCCCAAAATTCCGAAGTTCAGGGCTAGACATCCATGCACTGTATCCTAATTTGGGGGGAACCGCACGGCACGCTGAATCCTAAACCACTCGTTGTCCGTTACAGCGTCCCCGCATCGGGGCTCGGGTGATTAGTCCGGATGTGACCTCGCACTTTTTCATACCCAGCCCCATACCGGGCATCCGAAAATGCGACGAAAATTCGCGCCTCCAATTTTTGAGGTATTTTTATTTGGACGGCGCTTGGACTTTGATGCTCATCGCTGTCCGTCAATAGGCAGGTTTTGTCCACCGGGATTTGTAGGGATTTTTGAGGGGATGTTGGTTTGGTGGCCGGATGAGGCAATGAGTCAGGGTACGTCATTAGATGTGTAACGGAAACTATTGAAAAACTGGTATAGGCTGGCCAGCATTAACCAACTTGTCGATTGAATGACAAAATAAATTTAAGAGCTGCTGTAACCTTAAAATCATGATTATCAACTTCATTGAGCACGATTAGGCTAACCGAGATCATTGAGAAGTTCATATTTAAAAACAGTCGAAAAATGCATGATCGTGACACTCAAAGAGTAGCTTATTTCCGTGAAAAATTGATATTTTTAAAGCAGTTTAAACTAGTTATAACCGGAAAAGATGAGCATAAGGGAACGTTAAATCTTTAACCGGAACCCGTACTAGACTATAAATCCCGTCCCTGTACCTCGGTATTCACCACCCCAAATTCCGTTCAACCCGAGCGATTACCAGCCCAGCGACAAGCATTTATAGCCCGTGACCTTGCCAAAGCCCCCAAACTGGGCCTGTCGAGATTAAATAAACACATCCAGGGGTACAATTGGCTGCGGAGGTTGTGTTTTTACAAATATAGCAGTTGAAAATGTTTATAGTACTTTTTGGCACGAAATTTGGGGCCAAAAAGGTCCAAAAATCGGCTAGGTGAAGCGTAGCGACGCAATGAACCGGATATGATGTGCAATTCGTGTATTTGTTGTTGAGAATGGGGTTTGTATAGTATTGGAATAAAATTAGGTCATTAAATTTAAGGTTGTATATGCTTAAACTATATTTATTCAGCTTTTAAAGCCATTTTAGATGTTTTTAATCATGTTTCTCTTAGGTTAAAATAATGGCTGCTAAATGGACGTTTCCATATGCTTTCAAATTGGAAAATTCTCGTTGCAAAAAGAAAGGAGAAATTAAGGTTTTCACCAAAAAAAATTAAAATTTCGGGGTATGGGATATCCGCTCATTTAAATGTACCTTTTAATGAAGTTTTCAATTTTTGTTATGATTCATTTGAATTTATTGATTGAAATCTTCATTTTCCATAGGACTACGATTTAAATAAGTAACATAAACAAGCCGAGACCTCTGGGAACTTTTTGCATTGACTCTGGCAATCGACCGATAGACGAGTTCTTCCAGGCCTTGGGGCGGTGATTCCCTGTCCCTCATCAATCGCCCCAGTTGCACCTTCTCTCGGCCCATGTAGTATAGTGGTTAGTACTCCACGTTGTGGCCGTGGCGACGGTGGTTCGATTCCACCCATGGGCAACTTTTTTTTTGCTTTTTGGAAATTCGATAGGTTTTGGATCCTTGTGACCCTGTGAACTGGTTTAGAACCTTTTCCTACGTCGTTTGATCGTTTTGTTTTGAGCAGCATACAGTGTCTGTACAGCTGTGCCTTGCGGGCTACTCCCTACAAGTGTTTTCATCAACGAGCTTGAATTGAGAGATCGGAGCATTTATTCTGCCTATCGATATGTAATCTGTACAGCCGTGTAGCCAAGGTATGTAGGTAGGTGGAAGCCAGAATTAGCCAGAGCAATAGCCGCAGGTGCGGGGGCACTGGGCGGCCATCACCGCGCGGTAGATGGAGTTGGTGCACAGGTAGGAGAGACGGGTGCAGTCGGAGATGCCGGTGGCAGCGTTCGTGCGGTCGTAGCAGGCTGAAAAATTGAATTTTTCCGCGTTTTAATGAAGTTTTAATGATTTTAATGAGTTTTAACGATTTTATGACGATTTAATGAAGTGGCACAACTTACTAGATGACGACGCGGTGTAGCTGTACGATGACGACGACGAGCAGAAACCGCACGAACGGCGGCACTGGCTCTTCATCAGCGCCTTGTAGTACTTCCTGAAAGTGTTGTTAGCATAGGCATATGCTCTCTCTCGGCGCATCTTCAAGCAGTTCGACGTACCTAGTGCAATACCCAGCTGCAACCCTAGCCGGACAATCCGAGACGCCGGTCCTCGAGTTCACCTTGTCGACGCAGGCGACCGTGGTCGTACGCGTCGACGTCGTGGTGGCGACGAGACCGGCCGGGCAGCAGTTCAATGACCCATCTGATGCCGTGACGCATGTGCCGGTACCGCACACACCGCCGACGGCTCCGTCGAGGAAGCAGACTGAAAATGTGGACTAGAATGCGTTATTCAAAGGAAAAAGGCCCTGGAAGTCATGGTCGTAGCGTTAAACGCGATGCGGTGGCGTCGCGTACGCCAAGCTCTTGAATTACATGGCGTGTACGATTGCACATAAACATTCATGTCGTAACCACTCAAACTCACATCCCGTGAACGCCGTCTGACTCGTACAACTCGTCGCCGTGGCATACTGCAGACCGGCTGCGACGAGGAGCGCGATGCTGTAGATGGCCATTGCTGCTTGGTGAGGGCTTGCGGGCTGGGCTGGCTTGGCTGCCGGCTGGCTGTGATACTGATTCAGCAATTAATTCCGCTTATATACCTCCTGAAAACACCGTTGGCCCCCATTGTTCCGACGACTTGCAAGCTTCCATACACATCCCCACAATAGCATTCGTTTTTTTGGCATACACATGCTCGAGGCCAGCCTGCCCAAATAGGCCCCGGCCTGGGAAACGGGTGTAGCTGAAATGTCACAAAGCAGATCAGAGGCAATAGAAAAGGAATTAGAGACTAGAGAAGGGTTAGAAAAATCTAGAAATGTATTTTCAACCTAAAGATAACGTTTTAGCGCTAGAAATGAATGAATTTAGCTTGAAAGGGACGCTCAAATTCCACAAAGAACATCAGAGGTAATAAAAAAGAAATTAGAGACTAGAGGAGGGTTAGAAAAACAAAGGGTGATAAATGGAAATACCATGTATCGATTTTTCGCGTAAAAAACAGGATATCGCTTTAGAAAATCATTTCCCAGGCATAGCACATCGTATTTTTACTCTGCAACTCGAAAAAATAGTTAAAATAATGACAGAATTACAAGAATAACTAATCGGTACAAAAAAATGCGCATTTTTAGGCGTCTCATAGCAATAATAACATAGAAAAATCCTTTTAGATTGTTAAATTACGTCTATATATTTGTGTTTTTGTATATTAATATGACTTACTTAACTAAAATTAATCAATAAATAGTACTATTGAATTTAAACATCTATTAATGCTTGTTCTCGTGTTAATTGACCTTTTTGGGGGAATTTTACAGTACAGATGTCCGAACATCTGCGCCCTTTCCTTGCTCACTTCCCGAAAAAATTCTTTGATTACCGATCAAGTGGTTTTTTTTATTATTTTCGTTTTCCAAAACTTCTTTGCTCTTATTTATCGATTTTGAAAGCTAAAAAGATTTTTAGATCCGCGGGTGATGTCAGAAGAACGATACTTGGAAGACCCGGCGTACATCAATCTTGTGGATGGTGAGGATTTTGGCTTTCTATCTTGCTGGAGTTGTAAATAACCTGGTTAGAAGTAGCGAAATAAGAAATTCAGTTCATTGCTTCTTTTTCAGGTGAGCAGGAGATAGAAAATCGGGCGTCGTCAACATTGCCGGACGATGACGCGCCACAAGCAGGAACCCGGGCCGACAAGTCGCTCGCGCTGCTCACCAAGCGCTTCGTCAAGCTTTTACAAGAGTCGCCGGATGGCATGCTGGATTTGAACGAGGTTGGAATGTTTAAAAAACTAATCTTTTAGTTTCTGTATACTTTTAACACAGTTTTGAGCACGTTTTTACTGGGCGAAACTGAAATTGGCGTTTTTAGTGTTATTTCGCAGGAAAAGGGCTATTTTCTTTTTGATTTTAAAACCTTTGGCTTATGAAACTAAGTAAAAACATTTTTTTCTCATTTCAGGCAGTAGAAGGCTTGAATTTTCTGTTTTGTAGATTTCTTTTAGACATTTGAACCATTTTTTTATGCACAAAAATAAAGTTTACGTTTTTATGCTCGTTTTTTGCAAGAAAATGTCTATTGTTCAGTTTTCTTTTTCTAATTTTCGACTATAAAGCTAACGAAGTCTACAATTTACTCTTTCCAGGCCGCCGAACGCTTGAACGTCTCGCAAAAACGCCGCCTCTACGACATCACCAACGTTTTTGAGGGCGTCGGCCTCATCGAGAAGCGAACGAAAAACGTCGTTGAGTGGAAGTGAGTTGTAAATTCATGAATTTACGCTGCTTTTCATGCTGAAAATCTGTGTTTTTTCAGAGGAGGCGATTTGGAGAAGAACGCGAACGCCAAGCTGACGCCCGCCCAAGAAAAGGAGCTTGCACAATTGAAAAGAGTATGAATTTTTATGAATTTTCCAAAATCTTTTTGATTCAGGATTGCGCCAGGCTCGATGAAGAAGAAGCCGAGCTCGATAAGCAGATACGATGGTTGCGGCAGGTTGGTTTTTCAGGAAAACTTGATTTATGACGATTTTATCGTTTTCTGTGAGAAAATATCGATTTTTTTTAGGGCCTGAAGAACGTGGTGGAAGACCGGAGCCCGGATTCAAAAATGAAGGTCCCGATATCGGTGCTCGAGGCGCTTTACCCGAAAAGGAACTTCTTCCGCATCCGCGCCGCCCCTTGCACTGAAATCCAAGTGCTCCAATCGCGACCCGGGTCGAATCCGCGCCACACGCTACGGATGAGAAGCGAACTGGGGGCACCGGAAATCGAGCTTCTCATTCGGCCGAGCAAAAAGGTAGTTTTTTTGCGTTATTTTTGGCTGTACTTAATTTTGCTTTAACGACGAATTATCTTAAAAATCATTTAACTTAAAAGATGAATCTTCGGTCTTTTTATGACATTTTATCAAATCGTCGCTAGTTTAGACACAATTTTATGAAGTTTCTAACGTTTCTATTAGCCCTTGGACCATTAGTTAAAGACCCAGTACATAAACATTGATTTTTTGTGTATTTCCATTTTTAACCTAATTTTCAGGAGCGACAACCACGCCGGTCACGCCACCGAAGATATGAAGAGCCGTGGGAAGAAGCAGGTCCACATTTTAATATTGATTATTGATTTGATAGCCCTAATTATTAAATTAGACCATTCTAGGTTTCATTTTTATATTCGTAAATACAATCCATAAATACTTATTTTCAGAAAAACCCTACCTCGACATCGAGCCACCGCCCGGCGAAAGCGACTACCCGCTGCAGCTGCACCAAAAAGAGAGCATATTACAGATTTTTGACGAGATGATTTGAGCATTTGTTATTTTTAATGGTTACGAATTGCGTAGATTTAATTGGATAAAGATTTATTTGGATTGGATGATTTCGATTTTGAGCGAAAACCGTTTTTTTTTATTGAAAGACAAGTAGAAAATTTTATTTAGTTTATTTTACATGTAGCCCTCACTAACTCGTAAGGGTTAACTTTAGATTCTTTTTCTTTCCATTCTTTTCGCGTTTCTATGCTTTTTGGCAGAAACGGGGAGGAATGATCGCGAAAACCCGTATTGCTTTTTGCAGCCTTAGTTTTTCAGGGGTTCTTCAAATTTTGTCATTTTTCCGAGTTCTGAACATTCATCTCATTTAAATTTGCGTAAGGAATTTTTCCAATGAAGTCTAGACAATTTATTCGATCCTATTCAATCTACAATGTACAAAGCGGGAAGGGGAAAGGTGAATTGTGGAGATTCACATCTTCAGCCATAGCCATCGCATTATCCGGAGCAGAATCCGCACGTCAATGGGCACTGGGCGACCATGACGGCGTAGTAGGCAGAGTTGGTGCACAAATAGGAGAGGCGAGAACAGTCAGATACGCCAGTGTACGGGTTCGTACGGTCGTAGCAGCCTGGAAAAGTTACGTATGGATTTGCTGAGTTTTTGAGCGGAATCAAGGTAGCTTATCGTACGTATGATTTTGAACTTACCGGAGACGGTGTACGACGTATAAGAGGTAACAGTACAGTAACCGCACGACAGTCGGCACTGGCTCTTCATCAGGGCCTTGTAGTACTTCCTGAAGATTCGTGTATCGTTTTCTCTCTCTCTCTCTCTCTCTCTCTCTCTCTCTCTGTCTATCTCCCTCTCATGCTCTCTCTGTCTCTCTCGGCGCGTCTTCAAGCAGTACGACTCACCGAGTGCAATACCCAGCAGCAACCCTAGCCGGACAGTCAGATACTCCGGTCAATGGGTTGGTCTTGTCGACGCAGGCTACCGTAGTCGTCGTAGTGGTTGAAGTGACGAGAAAGGCAGCCGGGCAGCAGTTCAATGTTCCATCCGTAGCCGTGACGCATGTACCGGTTCCGCATACACCTCCGAACGCTCCGTCGGTGAAGCAGACTTAAAGTAATCGGGGTTAGTTAAGAGCGGCAACCTAGCAGAGATCATTTGGGAACTTTTTAAGGGGGATTTAGGAACAACAACTTACATCCGGTAAATACCGTCTGAAGAGAGCAACTCGTCGCCGAAGCATATTGCAGATACGCTACGGCGAGGAGTGCGATCCGGTAGATGGCCATAGCTTAGAATATGAAGCTTTTCAAGCTGTTCAGGCTGATGCTGCTGCCTCTGCTGGGCTTGCCGGGTGGCTGTGATGAGGTCTCGACATTTTCTCCGGCTTTTATACACTGGAATAGACTTCAAATTAGCATTGTCTTCCTCGTAAAATCTGAAACACACGCCATTAGCCAGACTATACAAATACGGCTCGCACAAAGGTGAACGAGCATTGCTATTTTGTGCCCCAAAAAACGTGAGTGCATGTCGACAATCGGCTGTGTAAATTTTATTGACATATCTATTGTTTCGAAGAATCCTGCTAGATCGTGTCGTTTTTTGGGAGTTTGGGGTGGTGTGGATGTTTCGAGCAGATTTCTGCAGAATTTTGCATGACAACAAAAGATTGTAAAACTTTCGACTTACCGTAGCCAAACAGATCGATAATCAGAATCGATAATACGTCGAAAATGGCGTAATTTACTCAAATTGCAAATTTCTGAAAAGAGGGTTTTTTTTGGCATCTAAAGCTCGCAAAATCGATGATAAATTGAAATGTCGCGTATTTATTTGGCTAACTGTTTCGCTACAGCATCTATGAAAAATGCAGATTTCCCTGGATAAATCTCAACATGTGACGAGACAATTGTACAGTATCTCTGCGTAACTTTGAGGTCAGAGCTTAGGCTTTGCATAGGCTTGGACTTAGGCTTCGCGTCGGCTTAGGCTTGGGCTTAAGCTTACGCTTAGGCTTCGGCTTAGGCTTAGGCGTGGGCTTCGGTTTAGGCATAGACTTAGGCTTAATTTTATAGGAATCCTCCTGACCCCCCACGCTCCGCTCATAAATAATCGTAAGCCTACTCCCCACCCGTGCGGGCTCCAGTTTGTACGCGCCGGACATGTGCATTCTGTAAGCCATTCCGATCGGCCTCCCCCCGGGGTCTGGCCGGTCTTTTTTGTTTCTTCCGGCCCGCTCCTAGAGGGGAGGTTTGAGGTTCGGTTGCCCCTGGTCGTTATTACTTTCGCGTCAAAATCCAGCCGGGATCCCTGCCGGCAAACATACGCAACCCACAAGGAGGGCACGGGAGGTACCCCTAAATCCAGATGTTCGGGGTTGGGCCGGCCAGGGTAGGGGTGTAGTGATTTGTTGGTGTAACCTGGGGTCAGCTACCTGTCTATAGGGTATTGTTAGAGCTTCTCACTGTGGTAGAAAAATAATTAATTTTTGTAGTTTTGCTTTAAATTAAGTGCGCATATTACAAACGCTGGTTTTCTAACCTCATTTTTTCCTCCAGAGTAGGTAATTTACTCAAAGCTGGCTTTTGTTGTTCAGGAGAGGTAGATGGCAAATTTTTTTTAGGATATAGGATAGTTTTTTGTAATGTTCTGGAAAGCCGAGTAGCTAAAAATTTTTAGTGTTTTTGCGGCATTCAGCGTCTTAAAAACCTGAAATGCGCATTCTCAGGTTATGATTTAATGGCTCCTTGAAAATACAATCCTTACAAGTTTTTGAATTAAAGTTTTTTAAGCTGCGCAAGGGTAATGTGGCAAATTTCTCGCGTTATCAAAGTTCCTTTTTACTTTAGTGCCTTCACCGGCCCTTTCAAATCGCGTTTCAAGGTGGCACTGAATAATCAGCACAATTACTTGCTCCCAAAAACTTTTAATGCGGTTTTAAAGTTACTTGAAACCTCCTCTTTTTAATTTTAATTATTTTAATTTAATTTTAAGTTAAGTTAATTTTTAGGATAGCTTCAGGAAGTCTAAGATCTTGTGGTCCTTTAATAGCTTAATTTCCGCACTTCCCACTCCCCAATTTGCACCCCGTAAAGCATATTGGCACGCGTAAAGCGCGCGGGATGAGCCAGCGATCGGGGGTGGAATCTTGTTTATGACTAGCGCGGAGGGGGGGGTTAGATTCTGATATCCAATACCGTCGACAGCCGCGCCACCCACCCGCCCCCGAAATCTCGCCCTAGGGGTGATCGAGATCTGGGACGCTTTGGTAGATCTTGAGATTTTGGCGAAGATTAGTTGGATAATTGGTGGGGCATAATTTAGCCGGGATCATGAGGCTCTTTGTCGAAATTTACAGAATTTCGCAGAATTTTGTGTATATCAGCTTTATGGTACGTGCTTCAAATACCTATTTTTCTCTAGGACTCCTTTCTCGCTCGCTGTCCCCGCTTCTCTCTCTCTCTCTCTCTCTCTCTCTCTCTCTCTCTCTCGCTCTCTCTCGTTATTTTTCGTTTTCGGGCTTCTCCAAAACTACCAAAATCTACCAAAAATATAAGTATGAGCGTGACGCGTAAGTTACGGCTACGTCGCGCTTCGTTTCACTCGTGTAAACTAGAGACGCTTGAGAGCATAATAGAGGGAGATTGAGAATGGAGAAAAAAGAATGCGTTTAGAGTTTGACCTCGCTTTCTTACCATGCCTCAGCCTTACCTCACGCAACCCAGGGGCTATTGGGTCTAATTTAAAGGTGAGGAGACAGTTTTGTCCGCTTTGATTGGATTTATTTGTTTCATACTGCCGCTCTCCCTTTAAAACCCCTGCACATGGATCGACCGCCTTTTTTGGGGGGGCATCCGTAGACTCGCGCGCGGCGCGCGAGGAGAGAATGATGGTCTGGGCTGTGTGAGTGGTTGGGTGAAAATGATTGGATCAATGAATGTGGAAGACAGAGGTGAAAGACAGCCGTATCCCCCCGGTTCTTCTCTCCGTTTCCTGTTACCCCCTACATCCACAGTCTTCTTCGACTCATTCCATACCCGGGTATACTCATTATGGCCTAATTATGTTATTTGGGCTTGGGCTTGGGCTTAGGCTTAGGCTTAGGCTTAGGCTTAGGCTTAGGCTTAGGCTTAGGCTTAGTCTTAGGCTTAGGCTTAGGCTGAGGCTTAGGTTTAGGCTTAGGCTTCCTAGCCTAAGCTTGGATTTATCGTAGTTTCACCGCTTTAAAGGGATTAGGAAGGCAGATTTCTGGCCTATCGTAGCTTTTCGGAGTCGCCAAAATTCTATTTTTTTTCTCGCTAAGTGCAGGATTTTTTATCAAGACATTTTTGTATTAAATTTCACGATTTTCACGTATTACGTTATGCCGCTCCTGACTCACCATTTCAACTAAAACTAAACTAAAGAAAACCTAAAGATTTTCTAAGGTCAAGTGATCTGATTTCAGGGCCAAATTTAGATCCAAATCTAAATCTAGATCTTCCTACCATCTCTTTTTCCTTCTTTTTCGATCTACCATGCATAGTATGGCAGCGTAGTTTTTCGGAAAAGTCGCCAACCCCAAAAGTGACCTTGCATTCTTGAAATATGAGCCCGGGGTCCGGTGCCAAAACTGCGCGTGCCCGTGCGCTGGGATTATCACTTTCTGTGTTTCGACAGTTCCAATTTCCAAATCCCGAAAATCCGGACTGATCGGAGCAACTCAGCGAAAGTCTTCCACCTTTTTTTGGCATGTCACGGTCACCTGATTCGTCCATTTCGGCTGGGACGAGTAGAAATTTGTGGAATTCCGACGGGGATGTTGTTTTTCTCGAGTCGAACACTTTATGTTTTTTTTTTGTACGATTTATTCTTTTGCAAAACTTCCTGGAATCCCTTATAAAATGTCTTTAAGGATTTGTAGGAGGTAGTTTTGAAAAAATAGTCGCTTTCTCTCTCATTCTCGATCTCTCTCCCTCCCCCCTCCTTGTATCCCTCGCTCCATAACCATAAGATTTGCCTGCTAGCGCGGCTCGCAATGCGGCTTCAAGCGAAAGTACAGTGCGTATTGAATTGCTACAGTAGAGTAGCGCATGCGTTGCGTGTCGCGCCCTAGTCAAATCTATAAGAAATCCATCTTCAATAAAGCCTTTCCGACGTATCTTTCTGGCTCCTTTAAAAGGAAACGGCGAGTTACATGGCGTGTACATCTATGTTACCTAAGTCTGTTTACATACAAGAATACAATATTTTGCGCTAGAGGACCATTTTTCATTCAGAATTGATTGAAATACCGCAGCTCGTAACGCACCATTTAGCGTTCACGCCAATTATTCCCCTATCACCTGCCATACAGGGTGGGCAAAAAAAAAAGCCCACAGTTTGGGTCGAAATAACTCGCGAACGGTAGAGAATCGAAGGTACGTTACCATGCCAGAATGCTTAAATATGCTGGGTATGAAGATTTAACACAACTTGATTTTTTCGATTTTTGAGTACGAAACTGTACTATTGACGCTGGTTGCGACCGAAAATTGTGCGTTCCTGAACGGGTGGTGGGAAAATCCTGATTTTTTGTCTGAAAATAGTATAAATTTGTAGAAATGTAATGGCAAAATTTTAGAATTTTTTGAGGTCAATTTCATTTTTTAAAAACAAAACAATTTTCGCGAGTTTTCGTTATTTTTGTTCTTAGGGTGATAACTCGCTTCTAACTCACTGCCCATGGCTGCTTTTTTGCCAATCACTTATCCAAATATTGATCTCGGATTCCACACCAGATTCCACCGCAATCTATGGTATTTTTGTATTGCTTGCTAAAACGTGCCCCAGTGGGGTACTGTAGGTTTCGTTTTTCCCGCTTTTCTCGGGGCCCCTAGCTTCGATTCGGCTAAAATTTTCTGGGTTGTTAGGCAATAAGTAGAGGCACCTTACTGCCAAATACGAGAGCGTACTATCCACAAACTTTCATGAAAAAGACTAAAAACTTATTTTTTAATTCTGCGGCAGAATTTTGTAAATTTTTTGATCAATTGGTCCAAAAACTGCTACTATTGGTTTTCCGAAAAGATCGAAGCGATTCCATGGCAAAAACACCGGAAAATCACAAATTTCTATTTTCTACAGTAACCCCCGTGGAGCGCGTTTTAGCATGCCATCACAAAATTCCATAAATTGAAGATTTTTCTATTCGATGACCTTCTAGAAGCGATTGTAAGATAGCCTGTCAAAAATGACTGATTTTGGATGGTAAATAACAAAGTTACGAGGCAAAGTGCAAAACCAGTCCAGAGAGCCGATTTTGGGTCCGAGTGGCCGGGTCAATTTTCGAGTTTTTAAAAATAAAAAAACGAGCTGGGTATTATGGATACGGTTATAGCTTTGATGTTATTATCTACGCCCGTCAAATTTGGGGACAATCTGATTCATGATTATGGTGACTTTCAGCTCAAAATCGAAGATCACCCTATTTCAAAACCAGTGGAAAAGACCGCTTCGCGGCCATTTTCCACTGGACCCCTGTCTAAGAACCACGAATTCTAACCCTTTCCTTTTCTTTTCCTTTCCCAGAGTCCCCTGAGCCATTCCTCGGCCTGAGGCGCCAGAACGCGGGCTACGTTCGAAACCTTGAGCCTGCGGCGCTAGCTACTGACTTTACTCTCCATATTCGGCCTGCGGCGCAAGAACCGGAGTAAAGGAGCCATTCTTTGGCCTGCGGCGCCAGAGCCAAGGTTGCGCTAGAATTTGTAAGCCTGCGGCGCTAGTTACTGGTTTTTCTCCAGGCTTTGGCCTGCGGCGCAAGAGCCCGGGTCCAGGACCCATCATTGGCCTGCGGCGCGAGAGCCTGGGCGAACGACCTTTTTTTGGCCTGCGGCGCTAGATCGAGGCCTAACCCCCGCACACCGAGAGCCTAGAAATATGTTTTGTTGCTGAACTACCAAAAAGCAAAAGTTAGGTACGGGTAGGATCCGAACCTACGACGATGCGCCTGGCAGACCGGCGTAGGACCACTACACCACCGTGACGATGGGAACAGGCAGCGGGAAAGGCCTCTTCTCTCCTGGGGGAGGCGAGCGGGGGGGAGGCAAAGGAAATCGCGACCCAATGATCCCGGAGGGAGGCCTACTGGCCACTTTACAAAATTCGGTTTTCGAGTCTGAATCAGCTGAAAATTTGTAAAGATAATAAGTTGCGCATGATCCCCACCATCGAATACATAAGTTTTCCAAATTCCAGCCCGAAATTCCATCAGGGCTTCGAGTTATGCCCCGGACACCACGTCTCTTGGCCCATTTTGTTAAGGACTTTTTGGAAAAATGCTCATAAAAATTTTAGATTACAAAATCTGCCAAAACGCAGAATTATATCACAGGAGAATGTAATTTTCAATCTGCCCTCCAAAAATTAGCGCCCAATTCGGTCTAGCAATCGAGATATCCTGTGAACAAACCTTTTTTCGGCCAAGATGTTAAGGATTTTTCACTATTTTGCTTGTAAAACCGTTAAATGAAGGAATTTCGAAAAACAAAAAAATACGTCACTGACAAATGTGTTTCTCCACCTCCATGCCAAAAATCAGCTCAAAATTCGGCCTGGCGGCCGAGAAATCGGCTGTACAGAAAACAAACATACTTTTCTCGCTTATAGGATAGGATCGAAGTTTAAAATTCTTTTAAAAAAATTTTCAACTGAAAATTGTCTTGGTCTTTGCATAGTTTTATTCAACTGATAGCACAGACTTATTGCTCAAAATATCCCTACGACTCCACCTTCCAAAATTTTTTGACGCAACCTCCAATTCGGTTTATTTCGGGTTTTGATGAATTTTCTTGGCGCCAACGGCTGGTTAAAAAAATTCATGAATAAGGCTTTAGGATGCGCTATTCAGCTGGTATCAGATAAAAATAAAACAATAATTTTCACAGCGCGACCAAATTTTATAAAATGGTGACAAGATTCGGAAAAAAGCGCGAACCAACCGTTTTGGAAGCCCTAAAAGACGCCCTTCCAAAGAGGTACGGTAGATAGAAATTTTGTAAGTGATAGTTAAACCCCAGTACTACATAGCTAAGCAAAGAAAACAGCTGAGTCCCGTTTGGCAATTTAGAAATATTTTTCCAAAGTCCGATTTCGAGACCTCGAAAAATCCATGACCAGGAGGTCGTTGAAAAACTCGAAAATTCATCGATCTCAAAAATTTTTTTAAGATTTTTTATGCGATTGTAACGGGATCGTAGGTATTCCACAACAACTGATTTTGAGGTTTTCGCCATAGGTTTTTTTAATATTGAAAATTTACGAAATTTCTCCATACAAAATTTCATTCCGCTCTAACTTTTCAACCAGACCCTCAAAAATTCTTAAATTTTTTAGGTACATATCTGCTGCTTATATTAACTTACGTAATAAAAATTAGATGCCAGCCACCACAGGAAACTGAGAAAAATACAAATGAAGTTTCCCCGAACGCACAGTTTTCGGGTGTCATTTGTATTGATACGTCGCCAAAAATCGAAAAAATCAAGTTGTGTTAAATCTTCATACCCAGCATATTTAAGCATTCTGGCATGGTAACGTACCTTCGATTCTCTACCGTTCGCGAGTTATTTCGACCCAAACTGTGGGCTTTTTTTTTGCCCACCCTGTAATCGACCCTGTTAATTAGGGGTTGTCAATAAAAGTGGTTATGGCTGTGTATGTGTGCAATCAAGCCAATCGTGCTCCTCAATGTCTCCCGTCTTCCATCACACCCCGCATCCTCCAACACCGACCGATTCGGGGGTGCTGAACCGGCTCCTCCCCTCCGGGTCTACCCCTACCTCTCGCCCATCACCAAACCAGACTAATTTTTGAGCGTGAATGAGGGGAACTTGCAGGAAAATTGACGTGATTTTGGAGTGATGAGAGAGTACTTAATTATTGATTTTTCTCGATCGATCGAATCCCGTTTGATCAATGATTAATTCTAATTTTTCCAAATTGCCAATTTTCCTATCTATCACCTTTTTAACTTTTTCTCGTTTTCTCCCGCTCTCTCGCACTCTCGTGTTCACCAGCTTTATTTTTTTCTATCGCTTTCTCTCGCGTTCTCTGACTATTCGCTCTCTCGCTCTCTCTTCCGGGCTCTCTTGCTCGTTTTTCTTCGCTCCTTCGCTCTCCTTCGCTCTCGCTCTCTCTCTCTCTCTCTCTCTCTCTCTCTCTCTCTCTCTCTCTCTCTCTCTCTTTCTCTCTATTTTTAATCAGTAGTTGTCCATTTTCCCAATTTTTCATTTCTCGGATCCAATTTAACATTTATCTTCCATTTATCTGTTATCATTGCTTTCCTACTTCAGCCATTCGAAACGTGCCTTTTTTGCAGCTACGTCCCTGCGATGTTTCGGTGATGACGATGGGTGCGAGGAGCCACGCCGTTCTTCGACGTTTTTTTATATTCCTACTGTATTGGCAAGGGATTTACACGGAGCGGTCTGCGTTTCCGCCGACGGCGTATGCGGGTAGGTCTGTCTCCCTATCTCGCCCTCACTCTCTCTCGCTCTCTCTCTCACTCTCTCTCCCGATCTACACTACGCTCTAGTATAATTTGCCAAATTTTAGCACGTAATTTTCGTAACAGTTCTATTAGTCGTGGGGGCGAGGATGACCTCAAATTTCCCATCAGTCTCCCCCGCAGCCAGCCCAGCCCGGCAGCACAAATATTCTCCACCTTGGGGTCGCCCCCGAAAAAAGCAAAAGGCGCGCGACAAATTGACTAATCCATCGCTCCACCCCCCCCCAACCAACTGAAAATGCGCACACTGCCACACCCCGCGGGGTCAGCCGTTTGAAAGTTGGGGTAATTGAAAAAGTGGAAAATTCATAAATTTGGGCACCACATACAGCAAAAGAGTCAAAGAGAGAGAGAATAGGGTACAAGCCTAATTACAGGAAAATCTTGAGAAACAGCAAATTATCGAAAAATTTACAAAAAGCGGAAGAAAAGTCGAAATATTGATAATCACAAGCTGTTTTTCCGTTTTATTTTGTTCTTGGAACTTCACATAGTTCCTCGCTTGCCCTCTCGCTCCCGTGCTCTCTCAGTTTCTTTTACTCTCGTGCTCGCACGCTCTCGTTCTCTCATGCCCTTTAGCTCTACTCTCATTATCAATCCCCCTCTCTCACCATCGCTCTCTCTCTCTCTCTCTCTCTCTCTCTCTCTCTCTCTCTCCCCCTCCTTCTCTCACGTTCTGTCTTCATTCTGAATCCGAAAAATCTATTTCCAGGAGTCTACTTCCCGCCCCGGTTTATGCAATGGGAACCCGAAGAATACACGAAATTTCTGGGGGATAAAGTATCGATCGCCCGAGTGGCTAAATTTAAATTATTTTTTAGGTGAAGCTCAACTGCCAAGTGGCTGGCGGGGGTGACAATGCTATAGAATGGCAAAGAAATGGTGAAAACATCACCCAAGCCGAGTACGCGATGCAGCGTGTCAAAAAGCTGCAGCCATTTATGCTTGAGATACCTTACTTGGAAGTTAGGGACCAGGTAGGGAAATTTTTATTCTAAAGGGACCCGAAAAGCAAATTCTCGCGAAGTTTCGTTCTCCAAAAAGATGAAAATTCTCGTACCATATCCGGCATATTTTACGAAAAAGGGCGCAAACACTTTTCTTGTAAAATGATAAAGATAACTGGATTTTCGAAATTTCGAAGGATCCCGAGTTTTCGTTTTAATAGAAATTTAAAGACAATCAACGACACCTATTTTCTTGATAAGTTCCAATCAAGCCATTTCAGGGCACATGGACCTGCAAAGTCTCCAACCCGGCAGGATCGATAAGCCGAGCATTCCAAATCGAGCTGGCTGGTGGGTCATTTTTTGTGTCTTTCTTTGCTATTGTAGCTGTTTTGCTGTTTATGGCATGTTTTACTTAAGCGCAAGGCGTACATTAACGTTTACTACCTGATACCTTTACTATCTTCTTTACCCATAATTCCAATAATTTAACATCTTCGAGAAATGTCGCTCTTTTGTGGCGGATTCGGGATTTTTGATGGGGTTTTCGAGGGCTCTAGCCTCAAAGCTTTGAAAATGCCTGTTGCTCCCTGGCTACAACTCACAATAAGCCTTTTTATTACTTTCCTCAAGCACATTCCGCACTCCAAGCCACGTCGCACGAGAAGTAGCCGATAGATTTTTGAACCTAGACACCAGGAATTTACTAAAAAAATGTATCTGATACCTGTTGCAAGATAAAATAATTATCCGAATTCCCAGAAGCTCTCTGGCAATAGATTGCAGCTGCCTTGTTTGCACCAGTGCAGTAATTTAGCGTTCTGACGACGTTTCGATCCTAAAAACGTCTTTCTTCTTCATTTTGCCTTAATTTATAATTACCTGGTTTTACCTTGCATACCTTTTACTTCCTTACCTTATCATACAGCCTCTGCGTTGCCATTAAATTCATATTAGCCGTGCATTGAATGGTGGTGTTGTAAGGGTTATAACAATTCCTAAAAATTGATTCTCGTCAATTCATTGATTCTGAACTTACTCTTCTAGGGCCGGATCCTGACTACGACGTTTTCGGGCCCTAAATTTGTACAATGGTTCAAAATTCCAGATTTTTTAACTACCCAATCACCTCCAGCGTTGTAGACGAAATGACTTGAGGCATCTGGCAGCCACACGCCTCTTAAAAAAGAAATAAGGGGTTTCTAGCCTGCAACTTACTCGACGTCGGCTCTGGTACGAACGTGATCGGGGAGAAGGGTTTTCTCTAAAAAAAGAGGAGAATTTCAATTTCAAGCATTTTTGATTCGTTGGTAGTAGTTATCTGTAGTTACTCAAGATGGCGAGTTTTGCATTTTTTAGGTCTATTTCTATGATTTGCATTCCTTACCGTAGTTGTCGGGCTCGTTGAAGTAGTCGTAGTAGTAGTAGTTGTTGTTGTTGTTGTGGTCGTAGTTGTCCTCGTCGTCGTCGTTGTCGTAGTGGTAGTAGTCGACGTGGTCGTCGTGGTCTTCGTGGTCGTCGTGGTCGTCGTGGTCGTCGTTGTCGTCGTGGTGGTGGTCGTGGTCGTCGTGGTAGTCGTCGTCGTAGTGGTGGTTGTTGTAGTAGTACTGGTCGACGTCGTCGCAGTAGTCGTACTCGTTGTTGTCGTTGTTGTTGTCGTAGTCGTCGTAGTAGTTGAAGTTGTAGTTGTAGTCGTACTCGTTGATGTCGTCGTAGTCGTGGTCGTCGTGGTCGTGGTCGTCGTCGTAGTAGTGGTAGTAGTCGTACTCGTAGTAGTTGTTGTCGTGGTTGTCGTAGTCGTCGTCGTTGAAGTAGTGGTAGTAGAAGTCGTGGTCGTGGTCCTGGTCGTGGTCGTAGTAGTTGTACTCGTTGAAGTAGTTGTCGTCGTCGGTTTCGGGGTCGTTGTCGGGGTTACAAATTCTAAAGGGACTCGATACCTTTGGATTTTAATAGGTTGCGCCACGGCAGAATACGCATAGGCTATGCAAACTAGCCTACCAGTGCACTCCCAATCCGGATCCGGAACCTGCGACTCCAGCGGGTCCGGCGTCGGTGGGTCAATGGGGACACAAACCCACATTTTGTCGATGGGGCCGCCCTCAAAAAAATTCTGTGATTTATTCTATTTAGAATTTGGACTGCTTGCCAAAGCACTTACCACTTTATACCCAGCGGCGCATTCGTGCAAAGGGAATAGGCAAATGGTACGGTTGCAAGGGATCAATCTGCTGCTCGGTCCGCTAGATATAGGAATTTCAAGGTTTCCAAACCATTTTTATAATGCTCCCTGTGAAAAGAACAAAAAACTCGTCACCTTGGAGAAGCGAACCCGTACCCAATTTCCTCGTAACGAAATGCCTTAGCCACTGCGCCATAGTCGTCAGACCGTTCCCTCTCACTTCAAGCGGCCTTTAAACCTACTCGCACGGGCATCCCCATGGCTCGGAAACGCAATTCCTGGTCTCGTTCTGTCTGCCCATGTAACCACAAAAGCCCGAGCATTCGCCGACCTCCTCCCAGTCGGTCCAGGCACCTAAAAGTGTCGAATTTTGTCGATTATCGTTAAGGCATATATACGTATTTAATGTTCATTAAAATATACAAAATTTACTTAGTTTGGAAGCACGATGCTACTAAAACACATACCACCATCTGGACAATTCGCACACAGCGATCCGTTTGCACTAGGTCGGATTGCTAAAACGAGGTTTAGAAACTTTTAAAGGGGCTGGGAAGTCGTACGTTTTGCTGTCGTCGTCGTGGTAGTGGTAGTCACAAATTCTAAAGCAACACGCTTGAAACAGAATTTTAGCAGTATGCTTCTGAGTCTGAGACTGCTACTTACCAGAACACATCCAATCCGGGTTTGGCATCTGCGACTCCAGCGGGTCCGGGACGGGTGGGACGATCGGGGAACAGATGTAGACCCCATTCTCCGGGCCGGACTAGGAGGGTCATTGTTTTTGTTTTTATGCTTTTATATAGATTTTTTAATCATTTTTATAGCCAGTTTTTAATAAAAAAGTTATTAAAGAGTCATTACCTTCCAATACCCATCGGCGCACGTCTGGTTCGGGAACTCACATATGGTGTTGTTACAAGGGATCTGTCGCGTGCTTGGGCCGCTAAATAGTGAGTTTAAGATAGTATTTAGGCCATGAAAAACACCTCGCCGACTGGCTCTCCAAAAAGCAAAAGATTTACAACCTCAGGGATCGAGCCCGGACCCACAGATCGTCAAGCAAGCCCTCTAGCCACTGCGCCATGGCTCCCTAACCGTTTTCACTTCGGGGTCCCTTTAGACTTACTCGCAAGGACATCCATAGGGATTAGAGACGCAATTTCTGCTCTGATTTTGGCTTCCCTTGTAGCCACAATTCCAAGAACATTCGCCGATCAACTCCCAATCAGTCCAGGCTCCTGAAAGATATGCTAATTAGGCATAAAAAAGCTCAGATTGCCTCCATCCGGACAGATGGCGCATTTTTGAGCGTTGGCAAGCAGGAATGCTACTAAATATTGAAAGTATATATTTTTAAAGGGATCTGTAAGGATATTTTTAACTGTAAACATAAATAACGTGTAACACGAAAAATCGGCATTTCACGGCGATTTATCACTCGCTAGCCCCTTTAAAAACCTACCCGCAACAATTGGCAAGCCTAGCCAGGGCTTGAGCCAAATCATGACTTTTGAAATGACTTCACCAAAAGTTTTTCGAGCTTAAAAGCAAGAATTAGCATAAACCGAGAGAAGTCTGGGTCGTAAAAATCGCTCGATGTTGCGTGCGCATGGGAAAACAGTAGTTTGGCATCTGTCAATATATTCTGTCATGTCCTGGGAATGTTGGGGAGTTTGGAAGCAATGGATGGTGGGATTGGGCATCGAAAATCAAGAAAAAAACAAGGGGGATCGGATTAAAGGGGCAAGGACAGCTGATTTTTCATGTTTATAAGTACAGTCAAGTTTTATGGTATTAACAAAAAATTTATTCGGTTTCCAGTTCGAGCTTTTTTAAGGTTTCTGCAGTTAATAGCCGACATCTCCAAAAGGATTTGGCCCGAATGGATCCTGAAAAAAATACTTTTTTCCAAGTTTCTGAGTTGATTTTTCGAGAGCTATTACGTCGTGTATAGTATTCAAACGTACGTCATTGTATGGGATCGGAGGCGGAATGGGTGGTAGTGGTTTTGCACATTTTGGACATGGGAGTGACTGGATTTGTTCACCGCTAAATACGAACGTCATCGAGAAGTACTCTCTCTCTCTCTCTCTCTCTCTCTCTCTCGCTTCCTCTCTCTCTCTTTCTCTCCCTTTCTAACTTACGAGCAACGCAACCGCGGCTCCGTTAAACAGAGTCTAGCTTGACGATACGATCCCTCCTTTCCGCACTCTGTGTTGCACTTCGACATCGTAATCCAAGGACCCCAGACTCCTAAAATTCCAAAAGCTTACTATAAATTAAGAAATTCGATACCTTGACCTCCAACCGGTCCTGGTTGAGGTCCAGGTATCGGCAAGTTCGGGTGGTTTGGTTCCGGATCTGGTTTAGGCCAAATTGGGCCAGGTTCCGGTCCGGGTTTCGGCCAGATTGGACCTGGTTCGGGTCCAGGCTTCGGCCAAATCGGGCCAGGTTCGGGACCTGGTTCGGGCCAATTCTGATGCGAGTCGTCACGATCGTGCTCGAATTCTATAGAAAGAACATTGGTGAGCTTCGATTGAGAATTTTTGCTCTTTCCCGCCGTCTTGAAGCTTCTAAAGTATCTTCAAAATAGGTTTTTTTGGAAATCTAAGCTAGGCTAACTTACCCCGGCACCTCCAATTAGGATCAGCCCTGTCCTCCCTAGGTTCATGTATCGGCCCGCAGATGTACTTTTTTTGTTCGTGGGATAGAACCTGATCAGCAATCCTATGCAATGTGAAAAAGTTACCTTTCGATACCCTTCCGCGCATGTTCGATTAGGAAAGAAGCATAGCGCATCCGCGCATGCAGCCACGCGCTTGGCTTCTCCTCTAAAGGGGGTGGTGAAGTCTGGCGGTTGCTTACGCTTAGGCTGGGCTTGGGCCACGCTTGGCTTAGGCTTATACTTAGGCTTAGGCTAAGGCTTAGGCTTAGGCTTCGGCTTAGGCTTAGGCTTCGGCTTAGGATTCGTCTTAGGCTTTGGCTTTGGGCCATAGTCTAAAATGTGTCTAAAACCGACCTACAAGGACATCCTGACTTCTCTGAAACACAGGTCCTCGCCTCGTTTTGACGGCCCTTGAACCCGCAATTCCAACTGCACCTGGAGACTGCTTTCCATTCGGACCAGGCACCTAAACGATTAGATTTTCGCTCATTTCTCAAGAATCTCGACTAGATAGCCGCTCAAAATCTTGAAAAATTCGTTTACGCGCGGACTAGAGGCTAAAAAACAAAAAGAACATGGAAAAACCAACCACCAGAAGGACAAACTTTGCATCTTCGCGAGTTGCTGTTGGCTGCTAATATTCTTATTTTGATTTTTCCATTAACATCTTACCAAGTGACACTAGAAATAATAAAAAGAATAAGTCAAGCCGGAGCATTCCGGAAAAGTGGCGCAGACAAGTAAGGTAGTAAAGCTAACACCCAGCTCGTGGCGAGGCTATAAATCAACCAAATTACTTTTGGCGGCATATCTCAAAGAAAGATGTGTTTTAGTGCCCCCAGACGTGACGCAAAATCGAATATTGATCTAGCAAAGGAACTATGATGTCAGAATAATAACAAAAAAACTATTTAAGTTTGAAAACAAATATCAAAATTGAGCCTTACAAACTTCGAAACTTTTCTTTTTTTTCTTTTGTCCTTACTTTAAATTATTTTTGCTAGTACAATAAGGAGTAATTTTAATTGCATTAGTTTTAGTAATCAATAATTGAATCTTAGGATCATGAAATACAGGGATTGGGATTGGGATAAAAACCGAACCACCGGATCCCAATCCCCCAAGTCTCCGCCCTGCCAAGATTCATGCACTCCTCTATCTACCCGTTCCCTACTCTCCCTTTCCCTCATCAATCCCCCTGGCCGCCCCTTCTCTCGGCCCATGTAGTATAGTGGTTAGTACTCCACGTTGTGGCCGTGGCGACGGTGGTTCGATTCCACCCATGGGCAACCCTTTTTGCTTTTTGGAGGAATGGATACGTTGTGATTGTTAGACGACGTCGTCACCAGAATCACTCAAAAAATGTTTAGGAACTTTTTTTTACGTATTTGCAGCCACGGTGTCCTAATCGCATGCCATTTCAGATTTCTGTGACTTCTTCACCGGCCTGCCTGTCGCGATACCTATGGAATGCATCTGTGTGTGGTTCTACACGGTTCGCCCTGTCCGGAATGACATCAGCTACACTGACATCGAGGCGAGACCCGAAGATTGTCGTCCGTTTTCGAAGAAAGTGCGAAAAGCACAGGAAAAGCTGCAGGCAGGTTACTGTCTTTATTTATTTTCTGAGAATTTCCTGATTTTAGACTATCATTCCCAAAATGATCTTTGCACGCTTTCCCGAATTGCCTCTGCTGGATTTCCTGGAAAATCTATCTAAATTCCCTGCAAGAATAGCGAAAATCCCCCAATTGTCGTTGCTAGCATGATATGGCAAACCTTTAAATCGATACTTTTCCCTTAACAGCACGTTCCAGAAATTCCGAGAAGAGCAAGAACGACAGCGAAATTTGACTTCCACAACATCAACGAGTACAGCCATTCCAACGACGACTTCAACGACCACAACCTCATCAACTCCCTATACCACTACGTCTCCTCCTTCCATAACCGCATCCATTGCTGAGCCGATCGCATGGAATGGGAGCTCCCTGAATGCTACTCTTCATATAATCAGAAGTAAGAATTGAGCCTTTTGGTTTCAGACCCGATCCGCCTATTCGACTGGCTGAGCGCACACAATAACGTCGACATCTCGCACGTGTTCCCCCAGCTGATCCCTGCCGGGGAGCTGGAGGGGGTTTATGCTCAGTTTTTGGCGGAGTGGCCAAAGCTGAACAGGGAGCAGAAGAAGTTCAGGGCCCGCCAGATCGTGCAAATCCATCGGGATCGAGAGGAGGCTCGAGAAATTGGTAGAGAAGACAAAAAAAATCGATTATATTTCGGTTTTAAAGGGAGTGGAGCGGCAGGAAATTATTGCTTTTATCATATTGGAAACTAGCAAAATAGTAATGACACTTTTTGGCTTCCCAGCCGTCTTAAGATATTTTGCGTCGCAAATTGCTGTCACGCTCCCTTTATAAAAGCTTCATTCAGAAACTGACGTCAGCCTTGAAGAACTTGCTGAAGAGACGACGACCACTTTGTCAACACCAACGACTTCAACCTGGTCAACGACAACTTCTACAACGACGCCTCCAGCAGAACCAACATCGACACAACGGCATCGAAAGAAGGACAAAACGACGACAGCCCCGAAGGAGACGACTACAGCCATGGGTAAGTTCGTCTCCCTTTCCATCTCTCTTTTTTCCGTCTCTCTCACTCTCTCTCACTCTCTCTCGCCTTCAATAGGGACTTTTCCAGAACCAGCCACCTTCGTCCATTCCGACTTCGTGCCCCTGGTTACCGTCCCAGCTGGCAGGACCGTCAAATTGAGCTGCAAGGCGACGGGAACGAACTTGGGGGTAAGCATTCTGTTTTTAACGAAATTGACTTAATTTTAGTACGTTTGGCACAAAAACGGAGCGGTCGTAGTCCAAGGAAGTCCTAGAGCCACTGGATACATCTACGGCTTGCGGGGTCACGCTTTAGAACTGGAGGATACAGTACCTTCTGATTCTGGGATGTACAAGTGTATTGTAAGTTTTGGAAGCAATTCTTAGGCTAGGCTTGGGCTTGGGTTTAGACTGGTTTTGTCTAGCAATATTCATCGCTTTTATAGGTTCAAAACCCACTTGGCTCTATCGAAAGGACGTACATTCTAAAAGTTGTTGAACGACTACGCTCTGCTCCTTTGATCCTACCAAATGTGCTTCGGAATCAGACTGTTAATGTCAATGGTAAGTTTCTCTCACTCACTCGTTCTCACTCTTTAAACTACTCTTTCAAGGAACGGCGACCTTCACCTGCGAAGTTATCTCGGACCTGACTCCCCACATCGTCTGGGTCCGAATTAACCGTACCGATGGAGAATATTACTTTCAAATACCCACCAACGGCTCTAATAATCAGCAGCACCACAAAAATGAGACTGTGTTTGCGTATACCAGGATGGAGAATCATCCGGTAAGCGGAAAGTGCGAGAGAGAGCGAGAGAGAAGAGAGAGAGAGAGAGAGAGATTGATAACAAATTCTATCTCCAATTTAGAAAGCTACAATCTACAACACTGCCAACGCCTCTACGCTCCGTCTCGTCAACGTTACTGTAGAAGAACAAGGGATTTACGCATGTATTACAGGAAATTCTTTGGGAAAGGTAGGTGTTTATTAATGTGTGTAGTCCTTGAGACATGCAGATTATAAAATATCATCCTAAAAACGATTGAATTTGCATATTTCAGGTGATGGCCAACGCTACTCTTACTGTTAATGAGTTTCGTACCCTGACGCTACCCACTGGAAAAGTAAGACCACTACGGTAACTTTGAATTAAACACTTTTTAGGCCCAACCCCAAGGAATCCCGTTGAGCTACTTGATCCTGACGCTCATCTTCTTGTTCCTGCTATTTTTGCTGTTTTTGGTCATCTTATCTTACTATCTTTGCATCCGGGCCAGCAAGAAGAAAATGGACGAGGCCGCTAGGTTGTTGCCGAGGAGGAAGAAGGTATGAAATGGACATTTTACCTAGGCCTTTCGAACGTAAGAAAGCGTCCTCTAGCGTAGCTTGGCAATTGTCCATACCGTTGGCGTAAACTGTAGTCCCTTAAAATACTATAAATGTTGGCTTTTTCTCAAAACATCTTTTTTCCAGGTCGTCGTCCGTCAAAAGGATCACGATGGAACTCGGGCCGGCTGGGCAGATTTGCCATCGACCTACCAAATCCAAATCATCGAACAATCTCCACATGGAGCAAGACAATCCCATATTTCTTCCGATATGACGATCAACTGCGAGTATGAGATTGAGGAGGATCCGGCATGGGAGTTCGAGCGATCGAGGTGAGTCGCTCTCTCACTTACTCTCTCACTTTCTCTCTCTCTCTCTCTCTCTCTCTCTCTCTCTCTCCCTCTCTCTCTCTCCGTCTCCTTCGACGCTATCTAATTCAGAATCGAACTCATTGACGTGCTCGGCGAAGGTGCTTTCGGAGAAGTCTGGCGTGGTCACCTCAACATTGAGCCTGAAGACTACCCGGAAAACGCGATCAGCAGAGTCCCCTTCAAGCAGCCAATCGCTGTCAAAAAGCTCAAGAATACAGCCCATGAGCGTGAGCTTCGAGATCTGGTGCTCGAGATGACCATCTTGAAAACGTTGGAGGAAATGGAACCCGCGCCTGGGAAGGAGAATGTGTTGAGGATTATCGGGTGTTGCACCGGAGTTGGACCACTTTTGGTGGTGCTCGAGCTGTGTCAGCACGGGAATTTGAGGTATGGCATTAAAAGTGAGCAGCGATTTGATTGCAGAATCGTTATCGGTAAATAACCGCGCGTAGAGCCCTGATTTTTGGCGACTCTTAAAGATCGGCGCTTTTTCTTTGCTTTGACGACGAGTAATTTTATAAAAATAAACTAATTTGAAAACTAGCGATCGCCAAAATTCCGATTTTCTAGAGACTTCCTCCGCGCCCATCGTCCTCGAGCGGAGCGTGCCATTGAATCGGTACCGAGCTCGCCTATCAACAAATCAAGTGGAACCCTCCAAGATTACCTGGAACCTAGAAGAGCCCAAGAACGCGTCCTTATCGACCCACTGACCCAACGTCACCTCGTCGATTTTGCCTATCAAGTAGCGAACGGAATGCACTTCCTCAGCAGCAAGCAAATCATCCATCGAGATCTGGCTGCCAGAAACATTTTGGTGGCCGAGAATTTTGCCCTCAAAATCTCGGATTTCGGACTATCGAGGAATACGTCGAGTTCAAAGGATTATTATAGGAAGAAGGTAGGTTTATAAGATGAAAATATGCTGTAAAAATTCCCAAAATCGCTGCTAGTTGTCTTGAACTTGTAGAATCGAAAATATCTCAAAAAGCCTTTCCTTTTAAAGCGGCGGAATTGCAATTTCAATGAAGTTCCTTTCCTCAAAAATGTCCGCGAAATTCTTAAGGATTTCTGCTAGCTTGCCCTATTTGATGCAGCGTGTTTAGTATTCACATTAATATACAGGCTGCCGTCCCATAGTCGCATTTTTAGGGCAACGGACGTCTTCCCGTAAAGTGGATGGCCCCGGAAGCCCTCGATGCCCATATCTACACAACCGAAAGTGATGTGTAAGTCAGCTTCAAAGACCTTTCAAAACACTATATTTCAGATGGTCCTACGGCATCCTGCTCTGGGAAATCATGACCCTTGGCGGGACCCCATATCCAACCATTCAAATGCATCAACTCTACAACTATCTAAAAGATGGCTACCGTATGGAGGCGCCTCACAATTGTCCGCAGGAGATTTACCAGATTATGATTGGGTGCTGGCAGGTGAGAAACTGAGAATAAAGGTTTAGACTTAGCTTAGGCCTAGGCTTAGGCTTAGGCTTAGGTTTAGGCTTGGAGTGGGTTATGCTTAGGCTTAGGCTTAAGCTGAGCTTAGGCTTATCTTGGGCGTAGACTTAGCTTAGACTTAGCTTATGCTTAGCTTAGGCTTATCTTAGGCCTAGCTGAGACTTAAAATCCCAAATAATCTATTTTTATTCAGGAAGCAAGAGAAAAGCGCCCCTCCTTCGCCATGATGCGCGACTACTTGCAGTGGATGTTGGCAGAAACGGAAGGAGAGGAAGCTAATGATGACGTACGAATACTGTAAACATCTCCAAGGGTCTCGAGTTTAGCTAGAAAGCAGGCCATCGGACTCTTCACACAACGATTTGGACCATTTTGCGCCTCCTCCACCAAAAAGTAGTGAAGCCGGGTCGTTGCAGAGGAAGAAGGCCAGACCGCTCTCGGCTCCGGTGATGTTGCCGATGGAGGTGAGGCTTAAAAGGCTGCTGCTTGAGTACGATGTCGCACACTCTCTTCTCTCTATCTCTCCCTCCCGCTCTCTCTCTATCTTTCTCTCTCCCTTCTAGGGAATGCCTCACACCATCTGCGACGACGATGAGGACGATGGTTCCGTTAGTGAAGACGAAGATGAGGGACCCTTGATAGTAAATGGCAGACCTGTGGAGAAGCTTCCCTTACTTCCGACGGGTGAGTCTGATTTCCAGGGCCGCAAAACTTTTCCACAATGTTCTGAATTCGAATTTTTGGTACACGACCTTAGCATCTGAAGCACAGCTTTTCCAGTACCATTTTATGCAGATGTAACCCCCACAAAACCCTGTATTTCCAAGCCACCACCAATCTCTCTATCGCTTCCGCTTCAGCCACGACCACCACCACCTCCAGCTCGAGCACTTCTGCGTCGAGCAGGAAGAAGTCAAGCTCGTCGTCTGACCCGCCGGATACCCCGCCAGGTCCTGCCCCTCCGCCGATACATGAGCGGACGGCCGCTTTGCAGAGTCGCGTGGAAGGTCGGTTTTAGGAATTTCGAAAGTGCAAGGCTTTTAAAAGGAACTAGAATACTACTAAGTATTTTAATCGAAATCAATTTACATGAATTAAAAACTAAAAAACTTGCATAAGCCACCTCTAAATCATTTATAGAACTTAAAACATGTTTGCTTCCTTATTGAATTTCTTTAAGAAAATTAAGCTATTTGAAGCAATAGGTATAAATGAAGCGAATAAAAAACGAAGTCCTGAAATTACCTATATGATTTATTGCTTAGCAGATATTAAAAACAGAAAATGACAGGATTCTTACCTAAATTCTGAGCCATAATGTACTTTTTCGATTTTAATGCACAAAATAGCCTTTTAGAACAATTATCTTTCAAATTTCTAGATAAATAAAGCTGTTAATTTTCAATATTTCTGTTTTTGTAAGCTCCACAAAAATATGCAAGTTTCCTCAGGTGCGTGTCAAATTTCGGGTGTCATTTGTCTCTCTATCCTAACCATCCTCTATCTTTCAAGCCCTATTCCACCGACCCGGCACCACACACCTCGTCCACTCGATGACCATCGATTCGGCCATCGGATCGCCCTCGCCCCCACCTACGCAACAACAGCCGCATACACCCCAGTATGCCAGTATCACACAGCAGCTAGGTACGGTGGCGGGGCCAGCATATTTCTGAGGATAAGTTAGTGCGACTAACTTGGCTAGCTTTCACGTTATTGGTTGAAAAGCTTGCGCTAGAAATTGCAGGCACTCTAGGATTTTTCAGACTTAGGTACGGATTTTGGGTTCAGCAGAGACGCTTAAAGGGACTGGGAAGATCGCTCCCGGATTTTTGGCTTCAGGGGCTCCTTTCAATAACTGGAAAAGACCGGCAAGGCTTGTTTATGGATTTAGCGATACGCAACGCGGCACACAAGGTGAGACGCAACGCGATACGCAACGTTACGTGAAACTCAACGCGGCACGGAACGCGACACGTAACGTGATCCTGTACCGCAACAGACGACGCGACACGCGACACGTTCGTCCGCAACACATTCAAGGGCCTTCGTATGAGCGCGTGTGCGTCGCGGTTGGCGAACAAACCCATACCCCAAAAAAATTTGTCGTCGCTTGTCTGCTCCTTTAAACATACGCGTAACTCATATATGCTATTTTCGTTGAAGATGGATTCCTTCGACCCTTATTAGAAATTGGCGCGAACGCCCCGCGTCACGCAACGCGCATCCCAGACCTATCGTGGAGGTATACTAATCCATTAATAGGCAATGGAAAGACCGGCGAGCGCCCTGCTTTTTGCTGGATTCCAAAGACATACCTTGCCGGGTCCTTTAGATGTCAATTTATCGAAGCTAAAATGGCATCAGAATATTAGGATAATGCATATACCTAGGCTTTGTTGCGGTCTTGTAAGGATTGCAGGTTTTAAAGAAACTATAAAACCTGCTAGTCATTTTTTCACTTTCCGGCACCTTTAAAATGCACATGTAAGGCTCTTGGAATTACTGTGATTGAGGCTACCAACCGTTAAAGGCACTAGGAATCAATTGCCACTTCCCATTCCTCTTAGCACCCACTCAAAGCACCTATATCACCAATCTATCATTCACCTCGCTTCCTTTACGCACCTAATTAAATTTTCCAGTCCCCCACCCCGGCCAGGACCACGATTACATGAACGTGGCCCGGGCACCGAGTCCAAGTCGTGAGGCTCAGGGCAGCTACCGCAACCCCACGAATTATACGGATTACCAAGCTAATGGCCAGCGGAACCGGTAACTACAGTATACTAGAGCCCCAAAAAGTCTCATTTTTAGCATCCCCCATCCCGCCCACCCCACCACCAGCACAAAGCTGGCGGCCGAGGAGGCCCGGCGGCACTCAATGGACTCGAGGGCCTCGTCCGGTATGTTAGTTTAATCTTATTTTATTGATTTTAATTCGTTAATTACTGCAGCGATTTCAAGGGAGAATGAATCAGGAAAAACCAAATACTTTAAAATACAGACACCTGCAAATTGAAGAAACCTACATGAAAATTGAAATAACGCAATTTCAAGGCTAACAGTAGGTGATCGCGCTGATACAAAATCATAGTATTAGAATCTTCTAATGCTCGTTTTTATAATTTCTCGGGGGATTTGATGGCGTAATCGGTTAGTGGATGACGACTTATCTCGATACTGCTAGGATCGATCCTTACAAAATTCGGGGTTAGCGGGCGGAGCCCGCTAACCCTTTTTGGGTTGAGATTTAACTATTTACTTGTAGAAATCGACTAACAAAAATGTGTTTCGGTAAAAAAAACCATAAAACATATAATCAAGGGAGAATTGAAACACCAAGCTTTGGAGCCTACAGCCGAGGGAATTTCAGTGTATTTATGGCTTGCCAAGGCCTTTGAAACGCCAGGAAACATGAAATCCAATGTTTTGTATATAAGAAACCGTTTTTTAACTGATTTACCAATTTGAATGCCGAAATTAATATTGTCGGGATTTAATTTTATAAAATTTACTTTCTCGATCTCTCATTTTATCGAATTTTATTCCATTCAGCTACATGGAAAATTGTAAATTCAGCATATTGAAACTACGACAAGAGAAAATTTCACTAAAGTGAATTTAGGCAAAGTAAATTTTACTATGCTAGTCTCTAAGGAACAAAAAAACCTATTCCAACCCATTTTTCAGGTCGTGGCGGTTCGTCGGGCGTCTCGTCATCAGAAGGAATCGGTGGCCTATCAGATTTGGTGCAAATCGAGATCCTCCCCTCGTCCTCCTCTTCATTCCCTACAGCTAGAGTTACACGCCCTGTCTCTTCCACCGCTGTTCCTACCGTATCCACCGCTACAGTACCCCCAACCTTACAGCCCCCACAAAATAGTGCTCAGCGCCACCCGACCGAACGAGCCCCCCGAGTCACCCGTACCTCTAGTCCAATCGCGAAAAATGACGTGCATTTTGGATAAGTGTTCATTTGCATAAGTAGATTTTTCCTAAATAGGTTTTCCTAAGAAATTAGAAAAATGAATTCAGCAAAAATTAATGGAATTCGTGTTTTTGCATTTAGTGACTACGGTTTTTTTTATATTTGCTTCATTTTTTTTGCGTATTTCTGCTCTCTTGAAATTTGCCCAATCACTTACGAGCTTTAATTCTATCTATTCGTTAATTTTTGTCAGCATCATTTTGCCAATTATTTTTCGAAAGTGTTGATACTTTTATGAATCGATAAATTATTTTTGAAGCTGAAAAAATTAGGAATTCACCGCATAAACCGGACAGATTCAAGCAGTTTTATTTCCACCTCATTTTTTCTACAAAAAAAAATACAAAGAGTCAGAAAGTTGGGTTAGGCTGCCATGGATTATCCTGGCGCTTCTATGCCACCTGATAAGGTGCAGCAATGGCAATGTTTGCTTCATGGCAGGATTAAAAAAGCGCAAGCTTACAAGCTGTAATACTTCGTAAAGCCAGCACATGCAAGCGCTTTCTTAAAAAAAATATTTCGCACTCAATCAATCCGCACTTAGTTTTCCTAGAAGTGTGCCTGCCCGACCGAAACTGGAAGATGTCCCTCCAGGTATGCCTTAGGCTAACGCGACATGGGACGACAACCAGCATACTTAGCCCGAAAGAACTCGACCGGATTGTACGAATTTATCGTATCTCGGCCACGTGCGTTTCCTCGGTCCCTTCAAAATGTGTTGGAGATTATTGGCCTTATCTGCCGGGCCTTCCACCTCGGCAGACAATGGGCACCTCCATCGCTTCCAAATGCTTCAGCCCAGGAGCCCCGATAAGCCATTGTTTCAAACGTGAACTCGACTTCGTCATGGGCCCGAAAAAATATCCGTACGTTTTTTAAGTAGAAAGCAGGGTTCAAAAACCGCTACGCGGCTATTGAGCCCAGTCCGCTCTTAGGCCAATGAAAGTTCACAGTTTGCATAAGTCTGCCCGATTGCAGCTCACCCAAGAAGAGGAAAGAAAAAAAGAAACCGAGTGGCGCGCCTGGGGCCCAGACTACATCGTGAGTACCTTCAGCGTGCCTACGTGCTTTCAATTTTGTTCCGTAGGAAAAATTATGAACCTTCTATTACAGCCGACCGGCCAAGCACACGTCGGTGAACCAAGAAAAGGAATTGCATACAGCGCCCGTTACCTCAACCGCATCGTAAGTTTTTCGTCGGTACCCTGGTAAAGTAGCGTTTCCGAGCCAAAAGCTATGAAAAAGTGCACGCATGAAAAACATCTTTACTCCAGGTGACTCTAATGTTTTGAGCTTTCCCGTTTTTCGCTACGAGGGCAAAGGATTGATAGCTTTTTTACAGTGCATCAACCAACGAGCCGAAGAAGAAATCACTGGATGGACAAGGCCTACCGCAAACCCTGTAAGCATTTCCGTGCTCTACGGGCTAAATATTTAGAAGAGACGTTACGCGAATAAATTCCATATCGCGGTAAGAGGCCAGCGATCCGAAAAGACAGAAATGCAAACGGGAAAGAGATGGCTTTGTCTTTCAATTTGGAAATTGCATCATTGCATCCTAACCACCCTATTATCCCGATTTTGGGGCTACTGGGTGTCTCAGAAAAACACTTCCTTTTGGAGATTCGTACGTTTTTGACGACTAAGGACTGTAGAAATTTCTCATAGAAGCGAGCAAATAAGCGGTTGCTGTTTTCTATAGTAAGCGGGGGCATAGTGAGAAAAAGCCGCAGCCAAAAATTTGGGGGGTGGCTTTGCTATACGTCCGTGGCAGCAAGCATTTTAACTCCTAAATTGTAGGACCGAAAACGCGAACAGCAGACCCGATGTTGATTGGTGATTTCTTGCCGATACGTGCAATATCAAGCAAAAATAAATCTAAGGGAGCGAAAGCCGCCTCTTTCTCGCCTAGTTAAAGGGGCTCAGAAGTCAAAATTCGTGCGTGCGGGATTGAACCTACGGGTCAAAAAACGAAAGGGTCACTGCCGAGAAGTGCCAAAATAGTGATTTGATTGCGAAAAAACGTAAAATTTTTGAGAAAAACCGAATTCTTTGTGGGGCGAAAACGACATTTTGAGTGGGCGGCGATTACATGTCGTAATGCCTTGTAAGGCACCCAATCTCTCGATCTCGGTGATTCTCTAATCAATTTTCATAATTTAAAAGTCTGGAATGATCAAAATTTGTTGAGGATTCCAAAAATAGTATCAGAATTTTTAAATTCAAGCGTTTTCGCGTCCAAACAGAGGCAAAAGATTATGCGGAGCGGTCGCTTTGCGGCCGCATCTGGCTATTTGCCAGGAATCACAGCAGTGGGCCGTGGACCAGATTTCGGAGCCCCTTTAAGGGCTTTCGATTGGTGTAAGAATCATTCTTATCCAAGCTCCCGCTGTTCTCCGAGAGCGCTGCCTTTTGGTACACCGAGTCTAAGCATCACACGTCTAATTACTGACCTCAATTGTTCTATTCTATAGTTTCAGGTTTAATACGGATGACCTCGGCAGTGAAACGGAGATGACACCCGATGTTTCGCTTACAGCGCCGGTGGAAGATTCGGAAGCACCAGAATCATCCGAATTAGAAGACGACGACGAGACCAATCATGAAAGGGCCCTCAAAGTTGATGAAATCCCGTCTGCCAAACGAGAGATGGAAAATGCATGCGATTTTGCAAAAAGATATACTCATTTTTACTGGAATGCCCGAAAAATAGGACAAATCAAAGCCAGAAACCGAACCTTCTCGGCACTAAAGAAGGTTTTGGCTGGCAGTAAGATAGCAATCTGTTTTATCTGCGAAGCTCATTTAAAGCCGTCACAGATGGAAGCCTTTGAAGGTGAGTTAGGCAAAATCGGCTATATGGTTGTGAAACCCGAAATCGAATATAAAATTGCTTTCGATGAGCCCAAGGTCTCTGGAGTGATCACCAATTATCTTAAAAAACTTGCGGTACATCAATGGAAAGAAGATCAAAAGAAAGGTACCGATGAAAAAAAGTTGAGGGAAAACCCGGACATGCTTGAAGACGGCTGGGGGACCGGCGATGGTACCTACCGCCTTTTGGCGCTGGTTCGCAAAGGCTCGACAAACAATGAATCGTATAATGCTGAATGCCTCGAATTAGTGCGAACGCCCGATGCAAAGACTCCCACCGATCGAATCATGAGCATCGACTACGACGGGGTGAAATATCTCATCATGCATCGCCAATCGCGCACCAGTAACCCAAAAAATCAACGCACCGGACTCGCTGTGTTCAAAAAATGGCTTCAGAATCGTGTGCAAAGTTCGGAAAACGTACTGTTCCTTGGCGATCTAAATATGGACTATGTTTCCTGGGATGAAATAAAGCCTCGCCGCCACGTGCCAAATGCTGACCGTGGGAACGCCTTTTTGAAGGTCCTGAATGAGGACTGCTGGTTTAGGCGGGAATGGGTCCGTCAGCCAACGAAATTGGGCTCTGATGCACAGCTTGATGTGCTACTCTCCAGGAGAATCCTGAGACCCTTCGGACCAAAGGGAGCCCAACCAGCCGGTAAATGCGCCGTCGCCGGGCTCTTTGATGAGCAGGATGGACAATGGATGAGTTTGAGCATCCATAAGGCGCTGTTTTTCAACGTCTGGAAGGGGGAGCCCTGGTTGATAAGCACCAAACCCGAGCACGAGCTGCATATTAATGTCCCGAAGCCCGGCTACAAGCAGATTACATGGATTTATGCTAACAACAGCGGGAATAAGGCCTTCAAGTGCAACATAAGAACTACCCCTTCTCGCAGCAACATCACGTTTTATCAAGGGGATCAACAAAATAGAAAAAAGATAGGCGCAGGAACGTCGTTTGAAATAAAGGGTTCAAATGATCCGGGAGGGCCGAACGAGCTCGCGATTGATTTTTGGATAATCCTCACCAATGTGGAATCTAAAGAACAGCACCATATTCGCATCGTTTACCATTATTGAAGTTTATTTATCCTTTTTTTGGTTGAATGCAATAGCGGCAAATCTTTGAATAAATTGCTGCTGTAATTTTGCGCATCGATAAATTGCTTTATGCCTTTTTCAAAAACAATAGTTTGCAAAAAAACTTGCAAAAGCTTGTAATTTTAGTTGGCTCTGGTAATAATTTTGCAGGGAGTGATAATAGTAACATCCGGTTTCAAAATATCACACAACATTTCGTGCTGAATAAATCTTCCTGGTCAACAGCGTCCCCTAAAATGCACACCACCAAACACAAAATTGAAAAAAGAATGGCGGAATTTCGGTCCATATCGATGCTTATACCAAGGCTGAGTTCTGACGGCCATTTTTGATTAGACATAAAAATCGAACGAGGCCGCACTTCTCTCATAAAAAAATTCGGCGATAAGAAAGCGCTGCCAAAAAGCCCAAGGCTTGCTGCGGTCGTTTAAAGTCGCACCACAATTCTGGGCCCCCTAAGCGACGGCAGAAATCGAAGCAAGGAGTGGAAAGGTATCTGTTATTCTTATCTGCACCTAAACTTTGTTTTGCCACCCTTCCCCCTGTAGTTTTGTTCTCGGTGGTCTTTAATTTTCTCAGCTAGCCTTACTTCCACACTTAATTTTTTATTCCCCTTCCGGGATCAATTTATTTTCCCAAATTCATCTTTTCATTGCTAGGGAAATAAATAGATTTTTTTCTTAAATATGTTTATTTTTTAAGGCCAGTTCGAAATCCAGCTCAGACCGACCGTTTCGAGGAGTTCGACGGCGCTAGTGATTCTCAGCCATTATATAGTAAGTTATTGTTAGTCTTTTAAGTGGCAAGTAGCAATAATGCAGAAAGTAATAATATGGCAAAGAAAATAAGTAGGCTGTAATGAAATATACATCACAGCTAATAGACTATTTTAGCTAATATGTCTCTCTGCGAAAGTCAAAAAGGTTTAATTTTTTTTGCAGGAAAAATTCCTTGCCAGACTTCTCAAGCCGTCACTACGACGTCGGAGACCCGCTTAATGTCGGATACACTATCCGAAATTGAAACTGTTTCCGAAAATGCCGCAAAATCTGGCAAAACCGGGCCTGAAGCTGCAGCGGAAATCGATAAGCCACAAGGTGATGCCAGCCAGAAAGACAGAACAGAAACTGAATCGAGCGCCCAGCCTCCAAAACATAGCCAGGAACCCGGAAGTGATGCTAATCCGGAGGTTACTTCAAGCGCCCAACTTTCACAAAATGATCAAAAACCCAAAAGCGGTGCGAATCCAGAAATTTTGGTATCCAGCCAAGACACCAGGCTGCCAAAATACACCTACATGTTCTGGAACGTTAACGGGCTCACCAAAACTGTCGTGAAGCAGCTTGAGAAAATCCTTTCCGATCATCAGGTCGACATCGCTTTCTTGGCCGGAATCCACCTGGATAAGATCAACGCCGACAAGCTGCTCCGCACCCTCAAGGAGTTCATCGTCCGTGGCTATGTCAAGGGCATCTATTACACCTCAAATAAGCAAAATCCGTATGAGATTGATCGGGTGAACAATTTGGTGTTGTTCCGTACCTCTACCGTAGTCTCGCCAAAGGTCGAGGCGAAAGAGTTTGCGATGAATGCTTATAAGAACGATCGGGTTTTGACGTTAGATCACGACGATTTATTTTTCATATTCTTACACCGAAAAGCGAGCAATATGACTGGGAGCTGTCTGGAATTCGCGGAATGGTTTGACTACGTCGTGGCCGGGCGCGCTAATGTTCTCTTTTTCGGCAGCTTTGAGCTTCCCGGAAATGATTGGGATATTTTCGAAACTCGGAAGAATGTCGTAAACCCAAAAATCCATCAGGACATGATCAATTTTCTCAAGCAGCGCGGTTTCACTCGTGAATGGGTACGCGAGGACACAACTGCCGAGGGTCAGACTGATGTCTTATTTTCAAGGAGACAAAACGATGGAGGTCCTCAAGGAGTTCAACCGTCAGGGAAAGCTCATGCTCAAAAGCATGCTGGGCGTGAGAATAAGGCTATATTTTTCAACGTTGAGAAGAAGCCCTGGAATATCGTGACGAGCCCATCGAGGAAAATTTATTTGAATTCGCCATTTTCGGAGCCACGGACGTATCTTTTGGAGATCGAGAATCGAGGAGAAGAATTGATCAAGATTGAGGTCGAGAGTAACGCTGAGCCTCTACAATTTCCAGACGAGTACGAGGTTTTGAAGACGGTTGGACTAGGAGCTAAAGAAACGAGGATTTTGCAAATTCAAGTCAGGCCCTTCAAATCGTTAAGGGACGCGACCGATTGGGTAATTCTGAAAAATTGCGCTAGCAAGGAACAACACCACGTAAAAATCGTCTATAACACCTAACAACACCATTTCTCTGTTTTTATATATTTCATCCGTAGACAATCACAATTTTTGCATAGATCCCTTAATCAAGGTTTTCTTTTGATAGGTTGATTTTTTTGAGGCGTCAGGTTTTCTAATAAATCTTATTTTAACCTCGATAAAGTCACATGGAGCAAATAATAGCACACGATAGGCATGAGCACGATCGCTTCCTGGCGCTCTGGAGCTTCTCAGCCAGAATTCGATAAGTTACGAGTCTCCGCACCCCCTTTTCCCCCGCTAACAGCCCAGAATCAGTTTGTCTACAAAAACCTAAAATTCATTCATTTTTCAGCTTTTTGGAATAAATCCCTGTACATTGCATGACTTTTGGCACCCTCTAGATCCTGATTGCAAAAGCGTAGACCACATTGCAAATAAATACAATTTGTTCAGCTGGGAGCGTTGATGTAATGCGAGAGAATGCAAGAATTGCACTTTTCAGGGCAGAGAATGAGAGAAGTGCTGGCCATTCGGCCCCGACTGATCCCCGGGCCCATAAACCTTCGCAGGTCGTTTCGGCTAGATCCGCTGCATGTGTTTGTATCGCTGCCGCTGCCGCTGGAAATAGGGAAGAAAAGGGTCCGGGTTTCTGAGAAGAACGGCTTTTGCTGTGACTCACCACGATCCTGACCTCGACCACGGGCTAGCTGTTAGCCTATTCTTAAAAAGTGCCGGTCACAACCTATGGCGTTTAGCTTCGAAGTTTTTAGGCATCCGTAGAACTGAAAGCGCTTTTTACAGGACTTTAGCTGATACAGTATCCTCGCCGACTTTGAGGCGGTGGTACTGCTCGATACAAGGCTGAAAACTTGTGAGACCAGACCTTTTTCAGCTTTTCAGCTCTTTCAGACCTTTTGGACAAGGAAGCAAAGATTTTTGCTGCGGCCGGGGGTCGAACCCGGGCCTCCCGATCGGGAGACGCGGTCGCATACCAGTCAGCCACGGGTGCAACCTGGCGAGCGGCCGAGGGGCGCCTCACCCCGGAAAGGAGGGAAATTGCTTCCCACGCCACGGGCAGGCAGTGCGCGCGGTCCCTACGTCCATAGGGTGTATAGTATATAGTATATACACTGTATACGGTATCAGTTCATTTCCCCGACACTCAGTTCCCGGACACTCGGTTCCCCGACAATCGGTTCCCCGACAAATCAGTTCCCCGACAATCAGTTCCCCGACAATCAGTTCCCCGACAATTATAAGGTGCTATTTTAACGTAATTATAGTGCTGGTATCATTCCCTATTTGTCGGGGAATTGATTGTCGGGGAACTGATTTGTCGGGGAACCGATTGTCGGGGAACCGAGTGTCGGGGAACTGATTGTCGGGGAACTGATTGTCGGGGAACCGATTGGAATTCGTGTATACGTTGGGCAGAGTATACGGCCCCTCCCTGAACGTGCGCTTTAAGGTTTTGAACCTCAAATAGATCCTACTTTATTACCTTCGTTTATTGAGTTGATTCTCCTTTCGAGAAAACATACCCTTTTGATCTAGAGCCTCAACTTTCCCAAAAAAAAACAGAAGAACAGGAACAAAAATGGATAGGAGTTTACGGGCTACCGTAAAAAAAGTACGCGCCGGTCGGCCTTTTGGAACGCCCGGTCCTCGCCTCGCGCCTGCACCATTCACTCCCGACGGATCCGATCGCCCATCAAATAGCACAGATCGTTACGTCGCGCAAAAAAGCACGTTCGGCTCGTTCAGTGCCCAGCCTTCGCTGCGACCTGCGAGTTTGATTTTCGAATTACAATTTTTGGCGAATATGAACCTGAATGCTCGAAAATACTTTACTATTGCTCGTTCTCTCTCATTCTCTCTCTCCAAATCTCACCCTTTTTCGCTCTCGTCTCTCTCTCTCGATCTCTCTTTCTCTCTCTTTCTCTCTCTTTCTCTCTCGCTCTCTCACTCTCGTTAATTCTCTCTCACTCACTCTCCCTCGTTCTCTCTCACTCTCCTTGTCTCTCGTTCTCTCTTCCTCCCCCTTCGTCTCAATTGTAAATTAACCGACTATTTCCAGGTGAGAGAGGGCTTTTTCGTAGGCCTCGATCATGTCGACTCCTCCACTTGGTACCGCTTCAAGCCTGCCGCTAACCCAAAATGCAAAAGCACTAGGTGAAAGGTCGGTCTCAAAATGAAGACTGTTTGTTGTTGTTGTTTCTTGTCTAAAAATATTTAGTGGGGCCCTAGCCAATCAGAGAGCAACGGCGCGGTGTGGCATTAGTTCGCCAACAACGAAACTAAAATAACTAGCCAAAAATCATATCTTTTGCAGCACCGATGCTGATAAGCTGCTGGTAAAGGGTTCATTCTTATGAGCATTTAATTTTACATAAACTGCGACACAGAACATTAAGCTGGGTGTCTCATACCCCCCCCCCCCCCGGCATTTGGCCGTTTTGTTTCCGATTGAGCAGTGGTCCACAAGGCCAAAAACTATCAGAAAACGGAAATAAGACGGCCAGCTGCCGAGGGTTTCTTATGAGACATCTGAATCCTTTTTTAGGCATTTTTTGTGTTGTATGCCCAAGGTCGTTCTTAGAAATTGGCAACAACAACATGGTGAAAATTTTGTCAATTTTTGTCAAGATTATTGAATTTTTGTAGGTATTGATTTTATAGCTATACTGCGCCGCTTGCTTTCGCCGCCTAACTTTTAAACAAGACATAAAATCGACCCGGATTAGCCGCAAAGCCGATTTTAACTGCAAAATCAGCATAAATTGTCTCTGCTCCCTTAAGCCTGGGCCCACACTCTACCCCGTATGCCCCATCTGCATTAGCATTTTCGGTTGGCAACTTGCCAATTATAGCTGAGTTTTTATCTGCGTAGCGCTTCCTTATCCCTTTAAAAAACGAAAGCTTACAATTTGTGATTCTTCGGAAAGCCAGTGATTACGCAGCTGAAGCTGACCAAGCTGAAAAAGTTCATAGCATTTGCGCAAAAAGATGTGATGGCTGCTTTAGGATGCGAGGGCCGAAAGCCACTTTTGGGACAGAGCCTTGGACTCGCGGCTGCTCTGCTTTGAGAGAGAGAAAGAGCGCGAGAGGGAATGTAAGAGAGCGAGAGGGAGAGAAAGTGAGCGAGAGAGGTAAAGAGAGCGAGAGAGAAAGAGCGAGAGAGAAAGAGAGCGGGAGAGAGAGAGAGAGAGAGAGAGAGAGAGAGAGAGAGAGAGAGAGAGAAGTCAGCTAAGACCCTTAATTGGAGACCTTGGTTTTATTGGGTGGGAGTTACGGTTTGTCGGCCGCTCGCAACTCCAGGGATTCATCTCTTATCAGTAGTATTAAGCGATTATCTCTTTTATTCGCATCGCACTCTTCCCTGTGAAACACCTAGACTTTCAGCGCTCGCACTACTTTTTCGTCGAATCAGAACATCATGTCGGAGTTCGAAACGTTTAGGTAAGCCCGTACACGCTGTTTGCTTAAAGGGATAGCGCATCATGCGTAACATGTACAGGGTGTTCCAAAAAGACCCCTGCCCCCCAAAAATTTGAGCCAGAGGGCACCTACGGAGCTGAAAATTTGCACAGAGGTAGCGAAGCCAATTTCCCATGTATATGGAAAGTTTGAGCCATATCGGTCGGCGGGTTTGAAAGGTATAGCCAAAATACTTTTAATTCTTAATTTAATATGAGGATCTTTGCAATTTGCATTAAAAATATGCGTTATTCTTGAATTTACGAGCCGATTTTGCATAAATTTTGCCAAAAAATGCCATTTTCTTGCTGAAGCATGGCGCGAACGATTGCCTATGAAGAGTAAAAAGGGTGTGAAATCAACTGTTTATCGATGCAAAGTAGAGTGCGGCTTATTCAAACCGGGTTTGAATAAGATTTCCGTTATTCAAATCAAACCGGTTTGATTTGAATACGGGATCCTTATTCAAACCAAACCCGGTTTGAATAAGGATTCCCAACTCAAACCAAACCAAACCGGTTTGAATAATTTGAACAAGGTTTGAATAAGAACCAGTCTCCGAAACAGTCTGTTTTCGGCACCATTTTTGCGTTTTGGCACCAATCCTTTTGTCACTTCACTTTAGGGTGGTTCAGCAGCATTCCTGCCAGGTTTTTGGGGTTAGCAGATCATTTCGAGACCTTTTTCTTTCAGCGCTGCCAAGGTTATCCCGACCATTTGGATGCTTGTGAAAGGTTGTGAATGGCAAGCCTATCGTTGAAAAAGTGCGTAAACCCCGTAAATGATGCCAATTTCATCATTATATTGATCGCACAAGGTTTTAGAAGGGATGCCTCGAAATTTTAGCCGATTAGCATCCATCCAACCGATTAACATGCTGATTTGCCTGTTGTTCAAACCAATTCAAACCAACTCAAACCTGGTCGGTTTGGTTTGAATAACGGATCCTTAATCAAACCAAACCGGTTTGATTTGAAAAGCAGATTCTTATTCAAACCGCCCTTATTCAAATCAAACCGGTTTGAGTCACGATTTGATTTGAATAAGCCGCACTCTAATGCAAAGCATGCCTTATTGTGCCTTTTTGCAATCTGCTCCGCGCTAGCCGCGAAACAGAGTTCGATGAGCTTTGTAAGTGGTGCTTAAGTTTAGATTTGGGCTTGGGTTTAAGTCAGTCGAAAGTCTAAGCGAATTTCAGGCGCTGAACGATGGTTTCAACCAATGTATCTTGTACTCAGCGGTCTTGCTGATCGTTTTCACGCTGCATGAGCAATCGTTTTTCAAAAGCTCCAGCAAGAAAATGGGATTTTTTGGCCAAATTTATGCAAAATCAGCTCGTAAATTTAAGAATACGCATATTCTTGAAGCAAATTGCAAAGATCCCCATATTAAATTAAAAATGAAAAGTATTTTCGCTATAACTTTAAAACCCGCCGACCAATATGGCTCAAACTTTCCATATACTTCGGAAATTGGCTTCGCTACCTCTGTGCAAACTTTCAGCTCCGTAGGTGCCCTCTGGCTCAAATTTTTGGGGGAGTCTTTTTTTGGGACACCCTGTAGATTGCTGTTAAGCCTGTCCCTTTAAAACGCGGTTTTTAGGGGTAGCAATACGATTTCTCCTTTGGTAGAATATAGTAATACAAGTCACGAGCCCTGAATTTTGATTTTCGGTTTCTTTACTCCATTACAAGGACTTCAGATACAAGGCTGATTGCAAAATATGAACTTCTGTCATGGCTAAGGAAATTGACGTTTTTCAGGAATCCTCGGAACAACGCCGATGACGATGATGAGGAAGATGACAAATCGTCGGAGCAGATAAACCTGTAGGTAACATGTTATCTTGTTAAATTGATTTTGAATTTTTACTTGCGTATTCATATACATATTCGCCTATCTAACAAATAGCAACTGGGAAATTTTTCAAAATTGCTATTAATATATGTTTTTATTTGGCGGTCGGAAAATCATGATGAACTTCTATTTTTCGTGAGAGGCCTAAGATACTAAATATTCAATTGTGGTCTTGATCTACATGGCTATTGCATGTATTTATAAACAAACAAGCACAAAAATCTTTCTCAAATATGTATAACAAAACTCACAAAAATTTGGAACCATTTAGGGACCATTTTACTTTAACTTACAAGGCAAGAACCTTATGGTGGACAAGGAGTGCTTAGGTTTGCTGTACTTTTTAAATTTGGGGAATCGCAATAATAAATACGTGTTACAACACTTGAGTGCGAAAAATACCAAAAACTTTGATATGCTACTTTTCAAACTCGGCTACTTTTCAGAAGCCAGAACGCCGGCACCGATGAAAAAAATACTGAGTGTCAGCAGGCAGGAAATATGATGGAGGAGGATCCCGTAACTGAAAACCTGATTGAAACTTTACACGAAGCCGAAATCGAAGACCAGGAGGGTGAGCAAGGCGCAGAGCCCCTATTAGGACCACCAACAACAGGATGGGAACCAGAACACACCCATCTTTACTGGAATATCTGCAAACTGGGCGCACACGGTACAAATAAACGCAGCTGGTTGCAACTGCAAAAGTTTCTGCGAAAGCGAGTGCTTGAGGTGTGCTGTCTGAGCGAGGTGCATCTCTCACCAACCGCTCTAGAAGACTATAAGACCGAATGCAAGGGCCTCGGCTACACACTGGTGGTCCCGGAAATTACTTATAAGCCCGCCTCTGACCTCAAAGATGGAAAACTGCTTACCTCATATAATTCATGGATGGAAAGAAAAAAGTCAGCGGGCAGCGCCCCATTAGGGGACTCGAAATGCGAGATCAAGCTCGGCAATCAAGAACCGAAGTCTGCTGAACCTCGTCTGAATGTAACTACTTCTACTACAGTACAAACAGTTTTAAATGAACAATTATTAGAGCCAGCCGACGGCATTCTGCAGGAGCTTCAGGCAATCAATCAACAGGACATAGCCAAAGAAATCTGTGACGAAACTTGTTATAATTTGGTGATAATAAGAGGCCTTGATGGAGAAATAAAAGTCACGACGCTCGAGCTCATACCTAATGGCAGCGCTCGAGCAAAAACGGATCGTCTCACTTACTTCGAGTACGATGATATCCTCTACGTTTTCCTTCATCGGCAAACACGCTATGGATATAAATTCGAAGAAGCTTTGGATAATTTACTGAAGGAGTCGCTGCTGTGTTTGATGAAAGATAAGGGCGACCTGCTTTTTTTTGGTGACTTTAATGCTGGTTTGGTCAATTGGAACCGTTTTGAAGTAGACCGAGAATATGAAGCGCCGGCGAACGCCGTTACGTTCTTGACTACAAAGCGCGAATTAGGCCTGACCAGAGAATGGGCTTGCGAATTCACTAACAAACAGAGCACAAGCCAGTTGGATGCCGTATTGTCTAGGCTAAAAGCTGATGGTAGCCCGGATGGGGTTCAACCCAAAGGCAAGTGCCACGTAGTAATGCTTTACAAGCCGGAAACAGGCACCAAAAAACGCCGCAGCACGAGCCTTTCGCCAAAGGAACCCGAGACTTTGAGCGACCATAAAGCCTTGTTCTTCAGCATCATCAAGAACGCTTGGCATGTGCAGACTGCGCCCCAGAAAAAGCTCTACTTCAATGAAGTAGGGGATAGCTCGACATTAGAGGCATATCTCAGGATCTATAACAAATCTGTTTGGCCACAACCTGATGTTGGAGCCCGCCACGATAAAGGTGTAGAAATCCGGCTTAGCAGTGACAGCAAAGACATAATTTGTTTATACGAAGTCTCAGAGGGAAGAGCGGTAGTGAAAGACCTGATACACGACACGCTCCATATCGAAGATGGAGCAAACCGTTTGGTTAAAATCACAGCTCAAATAACTGCTGGGCCGATAGAAAAAAACGCCCGCAAATGGATCATCCTCACAAATGTCAAGACCGGAGAAGAGCATCATGTTCGGATCAAGTATAACAAATAAGCTCGACAGCTGAATCAATCAAACTAGCATGAATAAATACAGCCTTCTGATGAACGCTTGAATAAATATTGCGCTTTTACTATTCCGTTTTGACTTGCTGAATAAATGAATATCTATATCTCAAATTCGCCTTTGAAAATGCATCTGACAATTGTGAGCAATTAACTAATGAGTAGCAAACCGAATAAAGACACTAAGAGTCGCATCAATGTTTTTAAATTTACAGTCAGTTACATTTACACGGCTTCCGGGATTCGGCTTTTCCGAGATATTCCTTTTTCTCTGATGAAAGAAAATGTTTTTATTAAAATTTATAACTCGTCAATTTTCCACTTTTCAGAGTAAATTCCGATGTATTGCATAACTTTTCGAACCGTTTAAAGGAGTTTTCGAAAAGCTTGCCAGTCTGCCGAATTGCGAATAAATACATTTTGTACAGCGTCGAGCGTTGATGTGAGGCGAGAGAATGCAGGAAGTGCACTTTTCAGGGTAGAAAATGAGAGAAGTGCTGGCCATTCGGCACCGACTGATCCCCGGGCATATTAACCTTCGCAGGTCGTTTCGGCAAGATCGGCTTGCATGTGTTTTTCGGGCGCAGGCTGAACCTTGGGAAAGAGGGGGAGGTTCAGGGAAGAGGGAAGGAAACATCGACACCTGCTGGTCTAGATCTAAAGTTCGATACGTTTTCTCGCCGAGATAACAGCTTTTTCTCAGCTTTTAGAGCGAGACAACCTGGCTTTCCATATTTTTTCCTGGAAAGCAGCCTCCCGCATTTCTGGGCGTTGAAATTCCTTCATGAATTTGTGAAAGCATCCGCCGCTACATATTAACGTCAAAACTGTAGACTAACAAGGGAACCTCAAGTTGGCACGGTGGAGTTTCGAAAAACGCTCGCGGCGACCCCTAGGTTTTCGACTATGGCGATTCCAATGGTCGAGTCAGAATTTCCTAAATAGCCCTCTGGACAGAGATACAGCACTTCCGGAAATTAGTCTTTTACATCCGAAAAATTAGCATTAGCGATAGGTTTATGAGGCTCTCCCATCACTATGGAATCACCAGTTGAATGGCCGAGAGGTAAGCGACTTGCTTGATAGGATACTGACGAGGGTACGGATCCGCTCGCCATTTTTTCCTTTGGTTTTTGTTCAGAATTTTCTGCCCAACTCCAAGTTTTCGATTGTTTTTTCGAAAATTCGTGCTCTGCCTAAAATGTCTAAAAGTATTAGCAAAGCAATTAGGCAAAAAAATCTTATCCGGTCAATCATAGAAATCATAAAAATTTTTCGAATTTTGAAACTACTTTGGAGCAATAATCAAAAGGCTGGTGCAATAATCAAAAAGTTTTCCTATATTAAAGACCGTCAGAACGATGAAATATCGTTTAGAGCATGAAAGTTGCGCACCGGGCGGGGGTCGAACCCGCGATGGTTCGCTCCACAGTCCGACGCGCTAGCCACTATACCACAGAGCCAAGTGGGGAAGGGAGTCAGAGGCGCCTCAAACCCGAGAGGGTCTTTGCCCAATACGGGACACCACTAATGACGACCCTCTCTGCGCGTTCTTGGGGGTAGCACCCTCGGGGTGACAGTGCGCGTTCCATCCTTCTGGTAGTCTTTAAAAATGAAAACTTGGAGCTGGGCAGAAAGTTCCGGTCAAAACGCAAAATTAAAAAAATCGTGAGCGGGTTCGAACCCTCGACAGTATCCTATCAAGCAAGTCGCTTACCACTCGGCCACTCAACTGGTGATTCCATAGTGATGGGAGAGCCACATAAACCTATCGCCAATGCTAATTTTTCGGATGTAAAAGATGAATTTCCGGAAGTGCTGTAAATCTGTCCAGAGGCCCATTTAGGAAATTCTGATTAGAGCGTTGGAATCGCCATAGTCGAAAACCTAGGGGTAGCCGCGAGCGTTTTTCGAAACTCCACCGTGCCAACTTGAGGTTCCCTTGTAAGCTTGTGTTGTGATCCTCGGAATGAAGTCGAATGCGCATGGACGAACAGTTTACGAATAACTGTTTATCTACATAAAGTGGTGCAGGAGGATCGGCAACAGAGCTAGTCTGTGCCGATAAATAGACCCACAACGGGTAACTACAATCTCGTCTTGGGCGGCAAAGTGGCGCACGCGACGCGACGCAACGCGGTGCGCGCCGGTGGCTTACCCACTGGATAGGAGGGACAGCCGGGAAAGAGGATCTATTGTGGTCCAGCGAGCTGACAACTGACAATAAGTTTATTAAAGTTGCTATAGCCTTATTTTTTAGGGAAACATTTACTTTTAGTTTGATCTGATCATAGAAGCGTTCTCTTACTTTTTTTCTGATTTTTGAAACAAGATATTAATTGCTTAAAATAAGATAAGCAATGGTGCAAATTGGTGCAAATTGGCGCAAATTGGCGCAAATCGAGATCCTCCCCTCATCCTCTTTTCCATTCCCTACGGCGAGAGTTACTCGACCCGTCTCTTCCACCGCTGTACCCACCGTATCCACCTCTACCGTACGCCCAACCTTACCACAGCCCCCACAAAATAACCCCCAGCGCCACCCGACCGAACGAGCCCCCCGAGTCACCCGTACCTCTAGTCCAATCGCGAAAAATGACGTGCATTTTGGATAAGTGTTAATTTGCATAAGTTCATTTTTTCCTAACTTTGTTTTTCCTCAAAAAAAATAGATAATTTTTCTTAATTCCCTTTTCCTAAAAAAATTAGAAAAATAAATTTAGGAAAATCAACGGAATTTGTTTTTTTGCATTTAGTGATTTTGATTTTCTACATCTTTTTTTGCGCATTTCTGCCCTCTTAAATGTTGCCCAATCACTTACGAGCTTTAATTTCTATATATACATTAATTTTCTGTCAGCATCATCTTGCCAATTATTTTTAGAAAGTGCTGGTACTTTTATGAAACGATAAATTATTTTTTGAAGCTGAAAAAAATCAGGAATTCACCGCATAAACCAGACAGAAAGGAAATACAAAAAGTCGGAAAGTTTGGTTTTAGGTTGCCATGGATTATCCTGGCGCTCCTATGCACCTGATAAGGTGCAGCAAATGTTTTCTTCAGAATGAGGGATCCTGGCAGGATTAAGAAAAGTGCAAGCTTGCAAGTTGTAGTCCTTCGTAAAGCCAACTCATGCAAGCCCTTGCTCAAAAAATTCGCACTTCATTTTCTAAGGAAAGTGTGCCTGGCCCAACCGAAACTGAACATTTTGCTGTTAAACACTGGTGTACTCTGCTCGGCAACATGTCGGCATCTTGAACAGCGATCGAAAAAGTTGTTTCGCCAAAAGAACAGCAAAATTGCTTTACAGGTGATAGATTATTCAAGCCATAGATTATGTTTAGACTTAAAAAAACGAATTCCCTAACAATAAGTCGTGCATTCGGTATTTGGTAGTCTTGGTATTCGAATTCGGTATTCACGAGCAATTAAATGAGAAGGGTTCAATTGAATAGGAGAGTTCATCAATAAATCTTGTTTTGGACTCGGATCAATTGACTTTCTTGCTTACAAGGGAAGGTTGTTTGGGTCAGGTGTCAAATCGAGTTGGAACATTTGCCAATGGGTAGAAAATCAAAAATAAAGTGGAGTTTCTTAATCTCATTTTTTGCACAATACCCCAAATTAAAAAGTTATAGGCCTTTGAAGTTACATAAAAAAGCACGAAACGACCCGACAATTCTGATCTGGTCCTCATTGTGGCCTACCCCCTTTTCAAGCTCTTGCGTCGCCCGTACTGGCAAGCTGTTTGGTGCAGTAGGTAGTGCCGTAGAGTGCAAAACTTTTTAAATTTTTGTAATCGAGTTCAAGTCATTGATGCGTCCAACTTTTTGCTTTTTGGATTTTACGCCAATTAACCCTAATTTGCAAGAGCAAAAAGCAAAAAGCAAAAAGATAGAAAAGTTTCAGTCTCGAACTTTTGCCAAAAATTTTTCAAAAGATTGTGTGTCAAGCACACTACCGATTGCGCTAGAAGAGACGTGGGGATTGGAGACGAGAGAGGGTCAAGAAATCACGTATGGAGAAAATGTGGAACCGGCGCGGCAAGCCTGCGCAGAACTCATTTTTCAGACCACAAACTTAAAATGCTTATAACTTTTTAATTAGGGGTATTGTGCAGAAAACGACTTAGCGCACCTTGTTCCGTTTTCAATTTTCTATCCACTGGCCAATTTTCAGAAAGATCTGACACCTGACCCAAACAACCTTCCCTTGTTAATTTTTCGGCGGACTTGCCTTTATCTATCAGCCTCCCAATCCGAAGCATTGTCGTTATGTCTTATCTTCCTAATAAAAGCATCTTGCCAAAGTCATAGTCAGCTCCCACAGCCTTGCCCATCACTGATCCTTTTTGAAACCGGAACCCTCCAAGCCATTTTTCGGACTTGCCGCAATGTCGGAGCCCCAACAAGAAACAAGGTTAGTTCTTATAAACGGACAATGTAAAATCTTCGAAAAAAACTCTAAAGCTTTTTTTTATTATATTTCTCGAAAAGCTGTCGAATTTACATTTTCATGGGGAATTAATATGAGAAGCCGTGCGTAGCACATGAATCTAAACGTATAATTTATCCATTCGGGTTGGTTTTTCAATCGTCAAAATTTTGCGCAAATCGCAACAAGTACGAGAAGTCAGTCGTTCTACATTTACAGGCCGGCAACCGATGATGACGGGTTCAACCGGGATTTGGAGGCAAAGTTAAAGATTGCAGGGAGCAACGGTCAGACAAAAAACCGGGGTAATCAAGAAAGCTCGGCACTCACCCGATCCGCGAAACCGTCGAACGCTGAGGAAGTTAAGAAAGTATGCAAATATATGTTTTGGAATGTCAAGAATCCCTCATACGGCGCAAAAACTTCAAGGGTTATATAAGATAGGATAATTTTGCCATAAGAGAACAGCGAAATTGCCCTGTAGGTGATAAAATGTAACGTTGCTAATTCGAGAAACCAAACTACCACGGACCAAAAGAGCAAATTGTTTTTCTACGACCCATCTTTTAAAACACAAATTACGGAAGTGTCGTAGAAACACTAGTATGATACCTAATATTACTTTACGAGTCTTTTTCCACCTATGCAAAAAATTTCGCTTCCCCAGCCGCGATAATGCGAAAAAACCTATTTTCTATATGAATGGACTGCATGTGCACAGCTTGTTTGTTATCTTCTGGCGGCGTTTTAGAAGAGCAGCCCATTATACTGAAGATGAAACGACTAGATTGCCCGGCCGCTCTAAATTTTATTACGTTCATTATCGCTGAGCCTCCGGAGCTGGAAGGCACACGGAATTGACTTGCTATCCAGCCCATTTTTCTCCGTATCGTGATCCCGCCCAGACACTCGAAAATACCTTTCTATCTAAAGCCATCGAAAATAGACCAGTACAGTTAAATCTCCCTTGCAATCAGCGTTTCCGTTCAACCATAAAAAACTATCGGTGCGCTCAGGTTTTATCGGATTCAGGGCATTAACAGGGTCATCCAGATTATCATAAACTCTTCCATAACGATTCTTGTCTACCGCTTCTTTCCCGGCTCTTGTCATGCTGAAATAGAAATCAAGAATTATTTCAGGGGAGCAAGAAGGCAGCCCAAATTCCCGCGTCGACGATCAATATCAATCGCTCGAAAGTTTCAACCTCCTCACAATGCCAAAACCTATAACAACCGGGTTGGTATTTTTATTTTCGGATCCAAAAGAGTATATATAATCTAAGTTTTTACTTGTATCAAGCTCCTTTGAGCTATAGCAGGAGTTACACCCAGAAACCAAACAGAGGGCCGCGTCGCACTTATGGCGGCGAAAGGCTTATCGCTTCCGGCGACACCCGCGCGATCCGTGCTATGAATTTCCGCAACTGAGACGCCAGTTAGCACGAACAAGGAGTCATTTTTAGGTGCTTTTCGCGTTTTGCCATGTGACCCAGCTTATTTGCATTGGCTGGAGCTTGCAGTTCCTAACAAAAAAAAAGACAAAGAAAAGACTAAAAAGAACCACTTTCAAAAAGACTCGACGACCACGACCTTAAAGAAAATCTGGTCTGAACTGCGGAATGTCTGGATCTCGAAGACTGTTATCGTTCGGCAATTTTTGAGATGGGTTCAGAATTGCAAGCTCTATGCAATGAGCAATATCACATCACAAAACTAAAACGCCCTAAACCACGGTACACATAGGATAACGGGGGGGGGATAAAATAACGGGGGGCACTCATTATTAAGAAATTTGCAATTACTGTGGGATTTTACGAGTGCCATTCGATAGAGCGTCGAAAAATATACTAAGAGAATTGATTTCAGCTCGAAATTATGTAATGGAATTTTTTATTGAATAAACAAAAATTGAGGAAAATCTATCACAGCACATAGGACAACGGGGGGAAGTCAAATTTTCGAAATTTTCGAAATTTTCGGTATTTTGAAAACGCCATTCGATAAAGCGTCGAAAACTGCCCTAGGAAAATTAATTTCAGCCCGAAATAATGTAAATGAAATTTTTTATCGAATAAACAAAAATTGATCAAAATCTATGGGCAGCACATAAGATAACGGGGGGAAAGCCAAATTTTTGAGATGTTCGTTATTTTGAAAACGCCAATCGTTAGAACATCAAAAATTATACTAAGAGATTTTTTAACGCGAAAAAATGTATTATAAAAGTTTTATAGCCTAAAAACTATTTTTGAAAACTATGGGCAGCACATAGGATAACGGGGGGGGATTTTCGGCGTTTTGAATATTTTCGATATTTTGAAAATGCCATTCGGTAGAGGGCCGAAAAATATACTAAGAGCTTTTTTTATAGCCCGAAAAAAGCCTATTTAAAAATACTTTTATCATAAAAAAAGTTTGAGTGCCACTCGTTATTCCCCCCGTTATCCTAATGTGTACCTAAACCACTTCTTGTAACCATAAAAAATCCTTAACCAGGCAAGGCGACCTCCCATTACCCTTACCCCTGCCTTGCCCGTAGGCGAGCTACTCGTCGGCACAAACCAACCGGCCGAATCGTTCTACTATTTCAGGAAAGCATCCGGTGGCCAGCCTGACGAAGTGGAAGAGGTGACCGCAAAAGTGAAACAAGTACAGATCTCGAGCCTTAAAGGAACGGGCGGCGAAACTTCAGAAGCTCTGTTGACGTAACGGATCAAGCGCCGAAACACGAAGGCCCAAACTCGGGAGGAGCTACTGACGAGGATCCCCCAAATCCTTACAAATACGCGTTTTGGAATGTCAACGTCGCCTTCTTTAATCAGAGGACCAAGCCAATTGCCGAAGAAATAGTGAAGCTGATGAAGCTGCATTCCGTGGATTTTTGCTTTGTCAGTGAAGCCCATTTGCTCTATGCTGACCCTGCCCCCCCGTGCGAGCCCGATCACAAACATCTTAGTTTTTTCAAAAAAAGTGTCACTGATGTCGACGGATCCCTGGATGTGGCAGACGTGAAGCGCGCAGATATCAAATACCACTATGGAGAAGATCCAGGAGTCAATCCAGAGGGTCATGACAAACCGGAAAAGGCGAAAATGCTACTGGTATACCGCACGGCTGTGATCGATGCCAAGGACCTAGAGATCGCTTATGATGTTTTCCCGATGGTGCATCCGAATCCCGCTCAGGTGAAACGTGACGACATCGACAGGGGGGATCGCGTGCTGACTGTGAAAATTGGCTCGACGACCTTTCTTTGCATGCATCGACAAACAAGCAGCTTGACTTGCACCGTTATGGAAGAAAACAAAGAACCAAAATTTGTAAGCTGGTTTAAAGAGAAACATGGATCAATCAAAAATCTGATATTATTTGGTGACCTTAATTTGCCCGGAATGGATTGGTATAAGTTCAAGCCAAGACAAGGCGTCGAACACATGCTGCTAACCCAGGATTGTGCAACATTTGTGAAGGAAATGGGATTCGACGAGGAATGGGTTCGGGAGGTGACCCGCTTCGCACAGGAGAAAGTTTATGAAAACAACTATGCATATGGAGAGGGAAAACAAACTACTATTCCCAGTTCGTACGCCAAATTAGACGTCATCTTGAGCCGCCGGGGTGGGATACGACCCCCGGAAAAGGCTTGCGTCAAATGGATTCAGCAATCAGAAGAACCGGGAGATTACCTAAGCGACCATTCTGTGATCCTTTTTAATCTCATGGAGGAGAAAAACAGAGCATTGAACATCCAAGCTTCGCCAAAGCACGCGATATTTCTTAATGCCCCGTTTGAGTTAGGGCAAACCGTCACTCTGGAAATTACTAACCACGGCGAGGGCTTTGATTTTTCCTTGGAGTCCCCTCACCTTCAATGGATTTATGTTGGTGATTGTGGCCATACGGACAGAATGCTATCGGTCAGCAAAAATTCTACAAAATACCTGAAGCTCACGTTCAAAGTGGCAGCCACCACCTCAGTGGAACGAAAGATGGATCATCTGACACCGGCTGGGACACATTGGCTGATATTGACTCAAAAGGGGACCGGGGAGCAGTACCACTGGCGTGTCCTGTTCAACAACGAGACTGAGGCTTCGCTGGCTCTTTAAAGATTTTCCTACTGTTTTTTATATTTTTTTTTAGCTTTGAAGAATGATTTTTTTTGTAGTCGTAGATCATCCTGTTTTCCAAATGGGTGGTTCGAAGATAAAGCTGAATAAAAACCGGGTTAGTTCCCAATGACACATTACGCCATGGGATATCATAATAAATCTAACATTTGCGGCCTACGTTCGCTAACCCCGCGAGACCTTGACAGCAAAAAGCCATCAATGATAGAGGGCATAAGAGGGAAACAGCGGCGGGTGGGCGGGACGAACATTGCTTCTAAAATAATTACTTCTAAAATCATTATTTCTAAAAGTTGGGACGTCGGATTATCAGTTTTTCGGCACGTTTGGCGATATTTTTGCTCAAATCGAAGCTAAAAATTTTAGAAGTAATGGGTTTAGAAGTAATGTTTTTAGAGCTATGTATTTAGAAGTAATGCCTTCTAGAAGTAAAGATGAGTAGCCAAGTGGAGGCAATCGAGATTTTTGGGCCAAGGATTGATCATTTTTAGTAAAGTATTATATAGTATTTTAAGCCACGAATATAACGGTTGTTGCAGGTCCGCCGGATCGTTGCCCGCCATGAAAAGAGGAATCGCAGACGAAAAAGGAAAAGGGCAGGGGACTCCCGGGACGAAAGTGATTTTCTGGAATGCGGAAACGTGCACTGAATCAAAAATTGAAGCTTTGGCGGAGCTAATGTGCCTGAATGTGGTCCATATATGCTTCCTTTTTGAACTGCCGTTCAGCGATGGGGAATTATTATCGAATTCATTAATCGAACGGCTTAATCAAATTGATCCGCGATGCCAAGACCAGACGCATAGTTTTATACACATCACTGCACCAAAGCTGAAAAATTCTACTGATCAAACTTGGCGAACAATCGACGCGATAATCTGGTATGACGGAATAGACGCAAAGCCTGAGACGCGAAATCATCCCCGTTACTGCGATGTTCGTGAAGCTCCCCGAATTTCTCGAATGGGCCTAAAAGTGGGCACAGAAGGATACGCTTGCTTTTATCGGCCACCCCACGAAATTCTCAGGGATTGGAATTATCATCAGGTGCAGGATTCAATAAAATACCAGCTGCAACGAATCTGGGACCTCGGAAATGTATTGCGATGGGCCTTCTGGGACTGCACTGTTTTTGCATTTGGTCAGCCGAACCTTCCTGGATTAAACTGGTATGAAGAAGCACGGAGGCCAGGAGCTAGCTATAGCCTTCACAGTGGTTGGCGCAAGAGAATGGACGAACGAACAGAATGGGTCCGCCAACCGACACATTCTGATGGCAAACAGCATAGTGTCATACTGACAAGGTCGGAAAGCATACGCCTCAAAACGAAACCACTAGTCGTTAAGGTCGTCAAAGAAGGCGATGAAAAGTACGACAACCACTACCTCCTAGAGGAACATTACGCTATAATATTCGAGACGATCAAGGACAGAAAACTGCGGATCAAAGCCGAGCCTAAGTTTGCCGTATTTTTTAATGGGTGCCATGAACAGGAATACAAATTGAAGGTGGAGAACATTGGGGAAGAAGCCTTCGAATACCAACTCCGCACTGATCACCCCGGCGCAATTCGATTGACACCAGATGCGGGGATGCTGACACGCGGCAAACCTGTTTATTGCAAAATTACGGTGGAGCCGTTTGTCGCTCCAATTGTGCCTGATTGTCGGTGGATCTATTTGAAGCACAAGGAAACCGGTGAAGAGTATTATTGGCGAATTTTCTATAACGAATCCGATGAAGCCTCTGAGGCTTTCTGAACTAGCCGCCCCTCACAGCTGAAAACTGGTAAGCAACGCATTTTGCTTCGTAGCACATTAACTATAAAATAGCACAATAAAATATTTTTATTTAGATATCTCCGTCTTCAAATGGCGACTCCGACACAAGCCCATCCTTTCAAAAGAATGTTTTTTTATAAATAAATCGCAAATAAAAGAAACTTTTGAAAATCACAGCGGATTTTGGCTCAAATACTCAAATATTTTAACTTAAAATAGTTAGCGGTTTGACGGTCCAGATTGCAAATGGAATGCAAAATGCAGCTCAAAAGCATGAAGCTGCAGCGCAGCTTCTATTTCGAGCCTCGTTTTAGATTAGACATCAAAATCGAATGAGGCGGCACTCCTCTCAATAAGAGTGGTGATAAGAAAGCGCTGGCAAAAAACGCAGAGCCTGGGCACTTGCTGCGGTCGTTTAAAGCCGCACCATAGTTCTGGGCCTCCTAAACGTCTGCAGAAATCAAAGCAAGGAGTGAAAAGGTATCTGTTATTTTTATCTCCCATACCTCAACTTTTTTTTGCCACTCTTGGCTCCTATAGTTTTGTTCTGGGTGGTAGTTACTTTTCTCATCTCGCCTTTCTTCCAAAAACTCAATTTTTTTATTTCCGTTCAGACCCAAATTTATTTCCCCAAATTCAGTTTTTTTTAAATCTCCGTTAGATTTTTTCGTTTGCCAGGAATTCGCTTCTCCAAGCTTTTAAGAACCTAGGTTGTTGCGGTCTTTCTTCGAAATTCGCTTGATTTTCCTAAAAGTCTTAGGAAACAGTATTACTAAGGAAATAAATCGAATTTTTCCTTAGATATGTGTATTTTTTAAGGCCAGTTCGAAATCCAATTCCGACCCGCGATTTCGAAGAGTTCAACAACGCTAGTGTTTCTCAGCCGTTAGATAGTAAGTCAAAATTAGTGCTTTAAGTGGCGGGTAGCCATAATACAAAAATTAATGTAGCAAAGAAAATAAGATGAGTAGGCTTTAATTAAATATACATTACAGCCAATAGACTATTTCAGCTAATATGTCTCTCTGCGAAAAGCAAAAAGGTTTAATCTCTTTTTGCAGGGAAAGATCCTTGCCACACTTCTGAAGCCGTCACTACGATGTCGGAGAATCGCCTAATGTCGGATACACAATCCGAAATTGAAACTGTTTCCGAAAATGCCGCAAAATCTGGCAAAACCGGACCTGAAGCTGCAGCGAAAATCGATAAGCCACAAGGTGATGCCAGCCAGAAAGACAGAACAGAAACTGAATCGAGCGCCCAGCCTCCAAAAAATGGCCGAGAACCCGGAAGTGATGCTAATCCAACGGTTACTTCTAACGTCCAACCTTCACAAAATGACGAAAAGCCGAAAAGCGGTATGAATCCAGAAATTTTGGTATCCAGCCAAGACACCGAGCTGCCAAAATACACCTACATGTTCTGGAACATTAATGGCCTCACCAAAACTGTCGTGAAGCAGCTCGATAAAATCCTTTCCGATCATCAGGTCGACATCGCCTTTTTGGCCGGAATCCACCTGGACAAGATCAACGCCGACAAGCTGCTCCGCACCCTCAAGGAATTCACCATCCGTGGCTATGTCAAAGGCATCTATTACACCTCGAATAAGCAAAATGCGGACGAAATTGATCGGGTGAACAATTTGGTGTTGTACCGTACCTCTACGGTAGTCTCGCCAAAGGTCGAGGCGAAAGAATTTGCGATGAATGCTTATAAGAACGACCGAGTTTTAACGCTTGCACACGACGATTTATTCTACATATTCCTACATCGAAAAGCGAGCAATATGACTGGCAGCTGTCTCGAATTCGCGGAATGGTTTGACGACGTGATTTCGAATCGTGATAATGTTCTCTTTTTCGGCAGCTTTGAGCTTCCCGGAAATGATTGGGATATTTTCGAGACCAGGAAGAATGTTGTAAACCCAAAAATCCATCAGGACATGATCAAATTTCTCAAGCAGCGCGGTTTCACTCGTGAATGGGTACGCGAGGACACAACTGCCGAGGGTCAGAGTGATGTCTTATTTTCAAGGAGACAAAACGATGGAGGTCCTCAAGGAGTTCAACCGTCAGGGAAAGCTCATGCTCAAAAGCATGCTGGGCGTGAGAATAAGGCTATATTTTTCAACGTTGAGAAGAAGCCCTGGAATATCGTGACGAGCCCATCGAGGAAAATTTATTTGAATTCGCCATTTTCGGAGCCACGGACGTATCTTTTGGAGATCGAGAATCGAGGAGAAGAATTGATCAAGATTGAGGTCGAGAGTAGCGCTGAGCCTCTACAATTTCCAGACGAGTACGAGGTTTTGAAGACGGTTGGACTAGGAGCAAAAGCAGCAAGGGTTTTGCAAATTCAAGTCAGGCCCTTCAAACCGCTAAGGGACGAGACCGATTGGGTAATTCTGAAAAATTGCGCTACCAAGGAGCAACACCATGTGAAAATTGTCTATAATACCTAACAATTTTATTTATGTGTTTTTATGTATTGCATCCTTTTAAAATCTCAATTTTTCTAATAAATCCCTTAATCAAGGATTTCTTTCGATAGCTTACGTTTATGAAGCGGCACATTTTTAATAAATCTCGTAACCTCAGATTAGACCTCAGACACGTTTTTAACAAATCAGAGCATACGCTGAGTATGAGCATGAGCGCTTCTTGCCGTCCTGGAATTTTCCGCCAGAATTCGATAAGTTACGGGTCGAAGGAGAGAAGCCTTAAGGGAAGCTTTGAAAACAACCCTTATAATTTCATTAATTTATTATCTTACGTGCAAAAAGCAGATAGAAGTCATCGCTTGCTAGATTCTTGAATCGCTCCTTCGATTCTATGTTTTTAAATGCTTGCATAGTCACAGTTTTTCGGTTCTGGACTATTAGCGGTGGGGGATTCAAATAACCCCCTTATGTTTGTCCATCTCTACCGCCAACCTGTTAGTGATATATAATGTATCTTCATACTGTTTTTAGCAGTTTTTGATCGTTAAAAGGTAAAAAGGTATTGCAATAACTTTTGAAAATTCGAGAATTTTGATTTTTTTTGGTCATTTTCCGACATTTTTGAATCTTCGAATCTTCGAAAATTTTGATTATTTTCCACTGTTTTTAAATTTAAAAGCGATGTAAGATGCTATAAACATAGTCTAGATCTTGTTATAGGGCGGTAGAGAACCACAGGGAAAATCTGGTTCCCCTCCCCGCTAACCTCCCTCCCCCTCCCGCTAACAGCCCAGAACCAGTTTGTCTAATCTAGCCCAAAACCTAATCTTCATTGATTTTTCAGCTTTTTGGAATAAATCCCTTTACATTCCATGACCGTTGGTACCCCCTAGAGCCTAATTGCAAAAAAACTGTCCGGTTCGCCTTCAAAATTGCGAATAAATACAATTTGTTCAGCGGCGTGCGTTGATGTAACGCGAGAGAATTCAGGAAGTGCACCTTTCAAGGCAGAGAATGAGAGAAGCGATGGCAATTCGGCCTCGGTTGATCCCCGGGCCCATAAACCTTCGCAGGTCGTTTCGGCTAGATCGGCTGCATGTGTTTGTCGGGCGCAGGCTGAACATTGGAAAGAGGGGGAGGTTCAGGGAAGAGGGAAGGAAGCATCGACCTTCGGCCTGCTGGGTTAGATCTAAAGTTCGATACGATTTTCTCGCCCAAATCACACCTATTTTCTGCAACTTTAGAACGCTAGAACCTGGCTGCAATGATTTTACCTAAAAATCATTTTGTTGGAGTTCCCCGACATTGCACTCCTTCGGCGAATTGGTTTAGAAAACGAAACGAAAAATAAGTCTAGGAAACCTCACTTTAGAAAAATTCCAGGGATTTGTGACCTTTTAGTATCTTCCGTTCTGCTAACTGTGAAGCTTCCTAAAAGCACTTTCAAGCACTACCAATGACGGCCTGGCAAAACAATTTACAAATAATACAAATTACAAATGATAATTTAGTATCTATCCGTTTCTGCGCCTGAAAGTCTTACTGTCGGCTTAATCCGGACGTGAACCCATTACGACGATTTTTAACTTTGTAAACAGTTTGTAAATTTCTGAAACTGAATGAGGACGGTCCCTTCAAAATTGTTTTACCCCTCTATTCTTGGATTTTCGTACAGTGATGATGCGCTTTTACCAAACGGCAATCGCTAAAAGTATAAAAAGTGCGAGTTGGTGGCGGGAAACGCCATGGCCGCACCGTCACCCTCTTTCAGTTTCCGCAGATCGGCCCGTCGATAAAATGGCACATATCGTTTTGCCGATATATAATATAGCAATTGCATCGTAGACCAGGGCCGTAACAAACCCGAAATTTCAGGGGGGAGCGACGTCAAAAATTTTTCACTAATATGACTAAACCTGCACCGGGTTATAAAAATATAGTATAATACTACATTTTTGGAAACCTAGGGTTTATAACACTAAAACTAGTGTTAAAAATAGCCAAAACAGCGCCGCAGACAAAAAAATTTTTGGAAAAATAAAATCATATTCCCTCATTATGAAATATCCGGCCTTCGGCCGATTTCGGGCGGGGGGGGGCTCGCCCCCTCGCCCGCCCCCTCTTACGGGCCTGTCGTACACCGTCCCGTCCTTCGTTTGAAATATTTGCTTGAAGTCGGTTACTCATTTCTTGTCCGTCTCTCTCTCCCGCTCTCTCTCGCTCTCGCTCTTTCTCCCCCCTCGCTCTCGCTCCCTCTCTCTATCCATCTCTCTCACTCTCTTTCTTTCTCTCGCCTTTTCTCGCGCTCTTTCTCTTTCTTTTTTTCACTCGTACTCTACTGTGGATTTTTCCGCCGGCTTAACCCCCGATTATAACCGGACCGACGCTTTCCAGCCATGTCTGGCCTTACACCAGCGGCCTCAAGTTCAGACGCGGAGCTCCAGCAGTTGGCGACAGAAGAGACTAGGTTTGCAAACCATGAAAATAATCTTCGATCTGAATGTCTAGCCGTATTTCCTAGACGTAGTTAGGGTCCCCCAGTACAATATGTAAATTCCTGGTCACTGGGCCTGGGATTATTCGCAAGGCGTGCGCTTAAAAGGTAGGGAGCAAACAGTATTACTCGATGTTGGGGGTTCGATGACCTTGCTTAGATTTGACTGGCTACCTTTTTACAGTAAAGTAAACGATTAAGAGTAAACCAAGTAAACTAGTAACTAAACGAGTCAACTATTCGCGATCTTTGGATCGGCTCAACGGATACATTTAGATCCGAATCAGATGGCGTTGAAGAAGTGACTCGGCTTCTGACGGACAGCTTCAGGCAAGTTCTTGCTGCTTGAAGATAGCTTTTCCGGGTCGAAAGATCGGAAGATGCTATTTTTTCTTACCCACGTGCCCGCATACGTCCGAAAATGACATGGCGGGGCGTGCAAACCAGGGTAAAACAAAAACGCGTTATTTGGTCGTTCGCCCTATCGGTCCCGGGTCGTCTTCGCTTCGCATGCTTTTCGAGTTCGAACCATCCTACTAATTTTTAGGGAATAGGCGCATTGACACTAATTTATCGAACATCCTTGCTATCGAAATTAGCCAAAGAAACGCTTTGTTAAGAAATTGCTACAACAGAAAATCGGCAAAATTTTGAGCGAAAAGAGGGATTTTCAGCGCGAAGCTGATGCAAATTGCTACGAAGCGAAATAATGCCAAAAAAGTTAAAGAATGTTGAAAATGCAGCATGTTAGTTCTCACTCTCAAATTACTGTACTTATCGGGTTCACGTCAGGGACGGGGCTATTTAGGGTGCAATGCAAGTGGGTTTGGGACCGTCGATAGTTTTTGGACAACCTGCCGTTTCAGGAATTTTCGCGGCTCCGAAGCGGGAGCAACAGACACAGCAATCGCGAACAAGCGCCAAGACATTGTCCAAAAGGCACAAGATGTGGTAGCCGACCCAGGAGCAGTGCCTGAGCTTAGAGAAGTCAAAACCGACGTGCCGGAAGAAATCATACGGAAAGCCGAAGAGCAACCACAAGGTTCCATGTACCAAATTGAAAGCCAACTAGAAGTGTTCGAGGGCCCAGGAGAAATCGTCGAGCCCGGAGAAGAAACGCCCGTACAGAAAGAAACTGGAAGGCAAGAGGAAAATCGAGAAGAAATAGCCAGGCAGACAGGCGGCAAATATGCGTTCCTATTCTGGAACATCAACACACTCAAAAGAGACACCTCAGAAAACAGCGCTTGGGCCTTGCTAAAAGGATTGCTAAGTTCGACGGGCAACCCGATATTAATGTGTTTTTTGTGTGAAGTTCATCAAGAACCAAATGAACTGGGGCAGCACGCAGCAGAAGCTAGGGAAATTGGCTATAAAATGGTGATACCTCGGGTAGAGTATCTAAATGGAGACCCATCGGCGGAAAAATGCCGTAATTTGGTGTTGCTACGCCACGATGTTGCAACAGATATAGAAGGCGTTACGACCATAGAATTTCTACACGAGCGCATTAAGACCGACCGCCTAACCTACCTTGCACATGACGAAGTGCTCTATATTTTTATTCATCGCCAAACACGCGGTGGAAATAAAACCGAGGTAAGAGCAGATCGTTTAATCGCAGAAAAATTAAGGGACCTAGTGCGTGGACGCAACCATGTGCTATTTTTTGGCGATTTCAACACTGGCTATATCGATTGGGAGCGACTAGTGAACTCGGACCGTCGAACAGCGCCACGTGCGCAAAGCATTATGGAGCTAATGGGGGATCTTGGATTTACACGGGAATGGGTGCGCGAACCAACACGTGAAGGTATGTGTCTCGATTTGCTATTTTCGAGACAAAACGGTGGCGCACCATATGGCGTCCAGCCAACCGGCAAATGCCACGTAATGGAAGCAAATGGAAGCGATCATAAAATATGCTTCTTCGGCATCATCAAGGAAAAACCTTGGCACATTAAGACAAAGCCTCTTTACCAATTCAACATCGGCGTGACTAACGGTAGCCCAGCCCTAAGAACGTACGATCTGAAAATCCATAACATGGCAGATTCAGAAATAAGCCTCAATATCCGGAACACCAGCATACACGGGTTCAAGATGCGCTTTTACGATAAAGTCCTGGACAAAGAACCAATAAGGGAGCCGCAGCAAAATTTCACAATTGAAGCAAAGCAATACCATCTGATCAAGTTAGAATTTATTGATGAACCGCGCCAGATTAGTGCGGGCACGGATCCCGATTGGATCATACTGACAAATGCTAAAACATATGAAGAACATCACATCCGACTCCGCTACTACTCGGCGCCCGCTGTGGCCACGTAATATTTTGAGTACTTCATTATAAGAACCAGCACCCAAACCTCGCTTCGCGGGCCCTGGGCGCTGAAATGGGACCTTGCATCAGAAATTTTACTTACCGATAGCGTGCGGACTAGCCTGGCCTTCCGAGCTCTCCGGGAGCCCCCAAATACAGGATGTCCCAAAAAAATCCCCCCTAGCCGGCCGCAGACCTGTCCGATTTTTACGATTTGGGTATCTATCGAAAGCTCTCGCAAAGGCGAGTCCAGCACGGCTTGCCGATTTTCGAATTGTCGACATTTTTTTGCTCGATTTTCGGCCTTTTTTCAGGCAAAAAGAACTCGCTTTTTTTGTCCAAAACGCAGTTTAACCGGTTTAAGCGCTATCCAAGCTGTGTTTTCGCAAACGGCTTTCAAAGAGCTGTCGTTGGGCTGCAAGTAAAGGCATAAAAAAATCTTAAATTGCAATTTTTGTAAAAAACGCCTTGTCAGAAAAACATCAGAAAATCCGCGCGTTTCGCAAAAAACATTAGTGATGATAAAAAAATTTCGACATTTCGAAAATCGGCAAGAAATTTCGAAAAAAAAGACGTGCTGGACTCGCCTTTGCGAGAGCTTTCGATAGATACCTAAATCGTAAAAATCGGACAGGTCTGCGGCCGGCTAGGGGGGGGGGGATTTTTTTTGGGACAGCCTGTATTAGGTTGTACAAAAAGTCTTGGCGGTTTTCGCTTTGGAATTTTTTTCTGAGAACAGGGGTGATGTCAGTCCTTAATGGTGCACCACCCGTTGAAGTGCTCTTGATGCTCTATCGAATAGCAGTATTCACATTGCCGTGAGATTTTTAGAAAGTTTTTTATATGGCAGCAAAGTTAGAACCAAAAAAGCACGATTTTCGTATTTTGTTTATAACTCCTCCAAGCTCCCCAAAAGAATAAAACCGGCCTGAACTTTCTGAACTTGTATTTTGTTGAAATTCTGAGAACGCCATCGGAAAGAGGAGGGTCGGACTCCTTCGAGTGATGGAGAATTGAGGCGTTTGATGCACGAAAAGGCGCTTAAATAAGGCTTCGAGAGTGACATCCAAACACACAGACAAAGATACGCGCCAAAATCATATTAAGTAGGAGCTGTAAGCATGGGCGACATCATGCACCAAACAAAATATGATCGAATTCCAGTGCCCAAAACCCGCTTCGCGGGCCTTGGGGCGCTGGAATTGGGCCTTTGCATGAAAAATTTGACTTTCCGATAGCTCGGATCCTTCGGACCCCTTCCCCCACCGACCACACACGCCTGTGCAAATTGCAAGAATGAGGAGATTTGTATTTTTCGTATTATGCAAATTACCCCCAAAAAATGAATAAAACCGGCTTTAACTTTGTAAACTTGTGTTTTATCGAAATTTTGAAAACGCCATCGGAAAGAGGAGCGTCGATTCCCCGTAGCGACGAAGAATTAGCGCATTTTATCCAGGGGAAGGCGCTTAAATCGAGCCTCGAAAGTGACATCCAAACACACACACACACACACACACACACACACACACACACACACACACACACACACACACACACACACACACACACACACACACACACACACACACACACACACACACACACACACACACACACACACACACACACACACACACACACACACACACACACACACACACACACACACACACACACACACACACACACACACACACACACACACACACACACACACACACACACACACACACACACACACACACACACACACACACACACACACACACACACACACACACACACACACACACACACACACACACACACACACACACACACACACACACACACACACACACACACACACACACACACACACACACACACACACACACACACACACACACACACACACACACACACACACACACACACACACACACACACACACACACACACACACACACACACACACACACACACACACACACACACACACACACACACACACACACACACACACACACACACACACACACACACACACACACACACACACACACACACACACACACACACACACACACACACACACACACACACACACACACACACACACACACACACACACACACACACACACACACACACACACACACACACACACACACACACACACACACACACACACACACACACACACACACACACACACACACACACACACACACACACACACACACACACACACACACACAAAATTGAGATGCTCTACAAGCCTGTACGCCAATCGAGCCGAGATACCAAAATTCTATTTGCGGCCGGTTGGTGGGGGGGGCTACCATCGATAACAATTGAACCTGTTGACCCTTTCGGGTAATGCACTGCTTCGCCGAGGGAAATTGGGGGACTTACAACGAGAGGTTTTTAACAATGGTACGCAGAAATGAAAAAAGACATCTTGCTCATTTTTTCAAGCGCTGGGGGTGAGCTAGGTCTCGTTGCAAAACTCCATTGGCACCTAACAACGTCTGCTTGTCAGGCGCAAGTCAGGGGGATCTTAGAAGGAATTAGGCGAGAGATTTAAAAGCTAAACCAAGGCCATTTTAGGACGGAAGAACGAGCTATTATCGATACCGGTCCATCGGACGACAAAGTCGGCACAAATCCTGCTACCGGAGAAGGTGAGAGTGCTTGAATGAGTTTCAACCAGCAGTTTAGGTGAAATGACTAATCGGTCCGGCGCTACAAGGCTCAACAATAAACATGCCTATTTGTTCTGGAATGTCACGGCTCTCGATTGTGCGGTCGTCAGGCAACTAGAACAACTCCTGGCCGAATATGAAGTGGATATCGTATTCCTTGCCGGAATCAACACCGACCAAGAGACTGCGAATTGCCTTCTCAGCAACATTGAAGGATTCGGGATTGGCAATCAATCCAAATTTATCTGCTTTACAACCCCTTACGTAAACCCTGAGGAAATCCATGAAATCCACAACTTGGTACTCTACCGAAAGGCGGTAATCGAACCGCCGAGCATTAGCATCGATGAATTCGCGATGAACACTGAGAAACATGACCGGGCCCTCACCATCGACATTGAGGAGCTTCGATTTATTTTTTTGGATCGTCAACCAGGCAATACGACAGGCACATGCAACGAGTTCAAGCAATGGTTCGCCGCTAAAACGCATAACCAGAAGAACGTCTTGTTTTTTGGCAGCTTCAACCTGCCGGCTAACGACTGGGACATATTTCAAACTTATCCAGGGGCCATTAATGCAGAGGTGCATCAGGGAATGATCGAGTTCCTCCAGGAATTCAAATTTACCAACGAATGGGTACGCCAGGCGTCGACTTCCAGGGGCCAGGCCGAGGTCTTATTTTCGAGTGGTCAAGTTGACGGCATTCAGCAAGGTGCACAACCGGCAAGCAAGGTTTTTGCTCAGAAGTACGATTGCAGCGAGCACAAGGCAATTTTTTTCAATGTCGAGCTTGTTCCTTGGAATATCATCACAACTCCACCACGGAGGATCATCATCAACCGACCATTTTCCCAGGAATACACCTATCCCCTTGAGATCGAGAATCGAGGAGATGAATCGTTTAACATTGAGGTTAGCACAAGTTCCGAACATTTACATCTCAACAAGGAGTTAATGCCCGGATATGCATTAGAACCCGGAGAAAAGAAGGAACTGAAAATCGAAATAGTTGAGCCCTGCACTCCCCGAAGAGGACAGGTGGATTGGGTTATCATTCGGAACATGTCGACCGATGAGGAACACCATGTAAAAATTGTCTACGATATCTAATACAATAATAATTATGATTAATCCTTTCTCTAACAGCTGCTCTTTTGTACGATTTTTGTCCAAACTAACATCGCTGTTTCGAATGGAACATAATTTTTGTAACATTTTCAATTTTTAAGTATAACCTTTTCTCAATGAATCCTTTTCCAATTTTCGAAAATTCACGTTGAGCAAGTACATTTATTCATTGAGTATCAAACCCGAATAAAGTCACTAAAAATCGCAGAAAAAATGTTCGATCAAAGTTCAGTGTGCACGCGGTGAGCATGGGCTCCGGGGAGTCGGCTTTTGCTCAGGTGGTCGCTTCCGACGGCTTTCGGAATTCTCTTCAGCCAGAATTCGACGAGTTGCGGGTCGAAGGTCTAGAAATAATGCTTTAGCATATCGTAAATAGCAGCTAGTAAATGGCTAAAATTTATAGAGAAACTAGGGTTCTATACCTTTTCCATTTTCGGGGTCTCGGCAAAGTTGGCGTAGGTCCAGGGCTTGTCTTTCGAAACTTGATCCCATTTGAATGAGTCAGGTTGAGGGATTACTGCAAAAAAATAAAAGTTTATAGGATTTAAGAACACTAATAAATTAGAATTACGTTTGAATAACGCGAAATATAGGTCTTAGAACGTGTAGAAACCTCGCAAAAGTGAAAAATAGTGCTATATTTTAAAACCCCAAAAATTCCATATTTTTAATCATGTAAAATATCACTAATTCTCGCCATTTTGGTACCTAGAGACTTTTATAAAATTTAACTAAACAAAACTGGAATTTTTGGCTTCAATAGAATAAACCAAAATTAAATCCAAAATTTCTATTTATCTAGCGTAGTTTAGGAGTTAACAAAATATCTAATAATCAGATATATTTCTCTAAACTCACCCATTAATCACAAATTTTGCCAAGCTATCGACAAAAGCCCTTTGGAATTTAGCATCTTCCGGCGCCAAATCTTCGTCCTTAATCCCAAAAGATGTCGAAGAGGTACTTCAGCTCGGTGGCGTGCCAGGCTCCTGAATTTCAATTATAATAACTTAATCTTGCTTTCAAAGTTAGATCGATACTTTCCTATTACCCTTATTGTCGCGCTCCAGCTTCTTCTCAAGCTGACGACGTGTAGGTGATTTGGTACAGCCAGCTGGGCCAATTCTGCAGACGCCTCAGCTCGAGGTCATGGAGCGTTGGGACGACGAACATCAGATCGGAGAGGAGCTGGAAGTTTGGGGCCTAGACAGTTTGGTTACGCGCCTAGTGACGCTACGTCACAGAAAGAACAAACAAGAACAATTTTAAGGCGTCCCTTGATGCGCGCGGCGTTTCCAAGTCAGTTCTAGTTTTTATTGTTTCCTGCAAAACATTAATAAAGCTACAATAATTTTGTAAATCCTTTATTAATGTTTTAATAATTTTGGTACATAGATGAATTCGTGATGTTTACTTACCTCAGTATACCTCTGAACGTAAAATTTGGTGTCTGGCTCTGCCGGGGCGTCGCGCTTGATGTAGTACTCTTCGAGGAGATCGAGGAAGGGGCCCATTTACGCCCTGGAATGTAGCCAGCGTGTGTTCTGAATAATCATACCATGCTCATGCTCAGTAGCCACGTTTTCCGAGATGAATTTGAAGAACGCGTCTCGAGTAAAGTTCTTCTGGTCCTCCTTGGTGAGCCGGACGCCGTTGAAGGCAGGGTAGCCCCTCGAAGCCGCTGGCTAAAAAAGGCAATAAAAAAGCTCGCGCTCTTTCACGGCTCTCGCCTCTCTCTCTCTCACTCTCTCTCTCTCTCTCTGACTTACCAAACATTGCCGATTCCTGATCTGTAAATCCAGAAAGCACCGGCTTTGGCTGCGCTGTTTTCAACATCTGATCCAGAGCATACGGGAAGAATTCGCCATCAATCCTGGGATGGAACTTCAAGAAGTTCGGATGAGTGCGGCTCGGGCCCTAAATGCATTGAATTTACAGATTTCTTGCGCTACATACAATCCTATCAACACCATCCAGAATCTCTTGTGCAGTCCTCTCCCTCATGCAGTCCAGGATTTTCCGGGTGTCTTTTTCATTGTTTTTCTGGCATCCTAGCTCTTTGGCCAGGGCGAAGGAGTTCTTAATATTGGATATTTACTGGAATACTGGAGTTTAGTCACTAATTTTGTAAAGGAACTACTTAGCCAGTGTTTATATATTTTTTAAAGGCATACCTCGACGACCGACTCCGATAGTGAATACTCGGCAAAAACTGATCCGGAAAGCTCGATGGTTTGGTGGAAATAGACTAAAAACTGTGTTTTTCAGGTACCAGTAATCTACCATCAGCATGAGGTGAAAAAGTTAGAGCACTGGCGGCAGAGGAGCCGGCAGACTGTCCGGATACGGTGATTTGGTTGACGTTGCCTCCGAAAGCGGGGAGGACCTAAAAAGAAGAGTTTGCGAGAGCGTGAGAGAGAGAGGGCGAGAGAGAAAGAGAATATAGAGATAGAAAGAGCGAGTTAGATAGAACGAGAGAGAATGAGAGAGAGAGGGGAAAAGAGAGTTACAGTAAATTTTACCCACATCGTGCAAGAATTCTAGAGCCGTCGCCATATCCCAGAGACCCATGTTTCCAGGCGCAGTCGGGTCTCCGAGAGAAAAGAAGCCTAAAATAGACGTTTAAAGGATGGGAATAGCATATGGAATTCCAGATTTTAGTGTTTAGCTGAATTTTTTAAAATGTGATTAGGAAAGTATAAAACTTACCAAGAGGTCCCAGTCTATATTGAATGGTGACGACAACAATGCCCTTGGCAACAAAGTGATCGACAAGCTTCTTGTAGCCATATTCTTCCGTGTTTCCGATTGCGAAACCACCGCCGTGGATGAATACCATCACTGGGTGTGCGCTTTGCTGAAAATTATCAATTTTAATGATAAGAAACAACAAGGTACTTCTGTCTTAAAACTCGAAAACGTACAAGGTCAGAAGGCGTCAGGATATTCAGGAAAAGGCAGTCCTCGCTGAAGTCCTGGCGATCATTGACGTGTGCACTGAACAGTACTATTTCTCTCTATCTCGCTCTCTTTCTCTCCCTCTCTCTCTCTCTGTCTAACTCACCCCTCCCCTCTCGATCACCCTCTTTCCAGTTGCAAAAGCTAACCTGTGTACCGGGATACAAGCTGCCCGGAATCTTGTGGCATGGTGCAGAAAGTCCATTTGTCGACGATATGGGGTTTCCTAAATAGAAATGTTTTTGTTCTATTCCCGCTCTCTCTCTCTCTTTTTTCTTTCCTACTCTCCCTCGCTCCCTCTCTCTTTTGTAAAAATACAAAAACCACGCCTAAAATCAGAAAACCAAGGTATGTTTGGTCGAAGTTAGACATAACATGGAAACGCCCAGCTGCAAAATTTGTTAGTTTTTTGAGCTCTGTATTTTTTAAGTTTTCGAGTCTGGTTTTCTTGTTTATTACATTATTAACGTCTAATTTCTTACCTCAAATCGATGAAAATTATCCGGGGCATTGGCATATCGAATTCCAAGGAAAACATTAGCTGTGGACCCGTCTTTTGCTTCGACTTTCAGGCCTTGGACCTAAGTGAATTTTAATCCATTTTGCACTTTTTTACTATACTTATTAATAAACCTTCTTGGTTTTTTAACAACTTACAGGTCCGTATTTGGTGTTAACAATTGGGCCATCCTCTTCTTTCGTCCCTTCCACTGCAAAAATCCCCACTTCATCAAGGAGGGCGGCTAGGAAAATTTGCCGCATCCTGAATATTAAATATTTTTACAAGTTCCTACTCATTTTAGAAAATTTATAAAAATAGAGGTTAAGGAAGAAATACCAAAAATTGACCCAGGACTGTCACTCTCGATTCTGGCTTGTTCTATTATTTTTTTAAAGGGAAAAACTAACAGAAACTTATAATTTTCATATTTTTATGATATCTAATTAGCTGAAACAGTTTCGTAGATACTAAGAAAAACAAAGCCAAAACCACGCTTCACCAATTACTGAAGGTTGTGACGCTCGAATGTTCTCAAAGTGTCCCGCTGGACATTGCGAGAGTTGATAAGGCGCTTTTTAATTGTTTTCTGGTCAGGAGACGGTAGGGAAGGTAGGAGGCAAAAAGTGAAGGGAAATACTTTAAAATACCCTAAATTGTGTAATCGAATCTTTTAAAGCGAGTGGTAGGCACAAAATACAACGCAAAACTCGTCATTAATGTAACGAGCAAAATAGATTAGCAAAATCAGCTATGGGGATTTTTAGAAGACAGGGGAAAGCCAGCCCTCCTTTACGAAACGCTTACAAGTAAGAAGCCTTGCGAGGCTGTCCTGTCCCGTGGTGCCTGTCCTTATGTGGCCCTGGTAGGGGTCAGCGAGTATGCAAATATTTGTGTATACCAAAAGGTAGGCGGGATGGAGCTGTGGCCCACCACCAAAACGGCATCGGTTGAATCACCACACCAGGGTGTGGGAGAGTTGGTCTTGATTAGAAGCGGGGCTTGGGTACCATTTTATGTGGTATTCAAGCTTGGTAATGGTTAGAAGCCTCCCTAAAAGGCTATTGAAGGTCGAAGCTTGTTGGTTGATAGCTTAGTCGAAGCTTGAGGTTGATACTATATGCTTTGAACAAGCTTGAACATCAATTTAAATCTAGCAAAAGATGTTGGGGTCGGTGGATCGAGCATCTTAAAGGGATAGTGAAGTGTAGACTTTCAGTATCTTTGTAAAGGACCACGAAGATTTCGAAAAATATAATTCTCCATTTAATGATCTAGGAAATTATGGAATCACCTTATTAAAAAATCACAAAAGCGTGTAAAAACATACTCATGATTTTTTTTAAAAACATTGAGATGCGAAAAAGAATCTTAAAGGGGCGGGGGGATTGTGGTCTATAAATTTAATCGAGGTGATTTCTGAAAAATAATAAAGTAGGGAAAATTATGAACATTAAATCAAGGTCCGCTTAATTTACGTAAACGCGCTTGAAGTTACTGTAGATAGCTTCCATATAGCTTAAACGTAAAACGACGTATTTTAGGTATTAAGCAAAATCAAATTAACGATCGATAAAGCGTGCGGAAATTTGGAAAAAACTTCAAAGTAGCATGGTGACACATGGAAGGTGACAAAAGGACATTACTTTACTGTGTGAGCAAAAATAAATATCCTTTTCGATTGTTTAACGCAACATAAGAATGATATAACCTGCTCTTTTGCTTAAAAAGGCCTTAACTATCATTCTGCTATGGAAAGTTGTGAGTTATGCGTTCGTTCCGATTTTGTGTGTTCGTGCTTTCTTGCCGGGAAGGGGGAACGTTTGTGTTCAATGCGGTGGGTCGGGATCGAGCTGGAAAGCGAAAATCTTGAGTGAATGTAACCACGGGGCCTCGAACCGGCCGAGTCATTTTTGGCAAGGTGTCTTCGCTTTCTGCTTGAAACGGATTTTTTTCAGAAAGCTTCACAGTTCAGTTTTTTCAAGGCGTCGTCGTCGCAAAACATTTGCAAACCCAAAAATTTCATCAAAAAGTACGTTAAGGCAGGGTACGCCAAAACTGAGTCTCAGACGTTAGCGCATTGACGCGTCACGTGCGCGTTGCGGCAGCACTGCCGGCGAACATGCCACAGCTTTTAGGCGCGTTGCGGGTAGCGTTGGGCGATCATCGCAGGCGCGTTGCGGAAGCGTAGGCGGTTCAGTTAAACCACTCAGCTCCTAGCACTCTCATCGCAAAAATACCTTAAGAGAACGTTAGTAGCCGCGTATTCATTAAGCTGCCTCTCTCGCCCTCTCTCTCTCTCTCTCTCGCTCGCTCTCTCTCTGCTCGTCTCTCTCTCGCTATTTCTCTCTATCTTCCGCCTCCTCTCTTTCGCTCTCGAAGCACCGGATCACCATCAACATTACCCCCACTAGTTCAAAAAAAATGTTTGCCCGGCCCCTGGTTAAACAAAAGTCGATGCTCGTAATTCAACAACACACCAAGGGACCGCAGCAAACAACGGCAGGAGCCGCAGCCAGCCTGCTAAGTGAAAACAAATTGAAGGGAAGGCTATTGGCGTGTCGCGGCGACCTGAGATTTTGCTGATAAGGGTCGCGGTCCGGCCGGTAGCCCTTCACATTTTTTGGCTTCATGAATTGGAACAGTTGAACAAAGGAAGCTTTGCGCGTTAAATTTCCACCCCAACCAGCCCTTTTTCAATTTTTCGAGCCCATGAGCTGATTACTGATGCTTTGAGCTGTATGGTTGTAGTATTGATGTTTTCAAATAGAATGCTTCAATTCTTGTATTTTCAACCCCATAATATTATTAGCAAATTTGATATCTCTTAGGTGCTCTCTGCTGACAATTTTCACCTCCAGAAAATGGCACGGCCGGATTTACAGACCACACCCCTACCCGAAAATCCCCGGAAATGGTAGCCAAGCGGATCAGAAGGGAGATTGGTGAGTTCAGACGATTTTATAGTTCTCTCTCGCGCTCTATCTCGCTCTCCCTCCCACTGTCACCTCACTGAAGGTATATTGTCAAGATACCATTTCTGTTATGGCAATCTTGGATGACACTAGTGTTTTGGGTAGTCTCTCACTCTCCTGTTCCTTACTCTCACTCTCCCGCTTTCTCGCACTCTCTCTCTCTCTCTCTCTCTTTTCTCTCTTTTCCTCGAATTTCCCAACACAATGACCAGGAACTGTTTTAACGGGGGGTGCCACTCAGCCTTATCACCCCAAACCCGACCTCATCCCCTTTGTGACCCCGGGGCCTGGGACCATAAATTACCGAGGAGTACCCCGGAGCTTCCTTACCCGTCCTTTTTCGAGGGTACTATGGATTCTTGAAATATTGATAAATAAATTGAAGTGCCAAGGATCCCTACCCATAGTATTGTTGAAGATGAGCTTCTTTTAGGGGCGAAAGGTAGGCTAGCAGAATTTTTTGCAGAATTTTCTGAGTAAGGCACGCTAGCAGAGATTCTTTGAAGAATTTTGCCTCCCAAACCGTGGAGAAAAAAATTTATTATATTTTTGGCAAGAATTAATGAAAAACTGGCTCTATCTAGGATTTTGAAATGATCTCTGCTTCATCTCAAAACCAAACTGGTTGTGACAATTGCAAAATTTGCAAACCTATGAATCGTCTGACAAGGGAAGGTTGTTTGGGTCAGGTGTCAAATCTTTCTGAAAATTTGCCAGTTGATAGAAAATTGAAAAACGGAACAAGGTGCGCGAAGTCGTTTCTGCACAATACCCCTAATTAAAAAGTTATAAGCTTTTTAAGTTTGCGGTCTAAAAATTGAGTTTTGCGCAGGCTTTTGCACCAACACCGCACCGTTGCCACCTTTTCTTCATGCGTAGTTTCTTGACCCTCACTTGTGGCCGCTCCCCACGTCTTTTCTAGCGCAATCGGTAGTGCGCTTGACTCATATTTTTTTGAAAAATTTTTGGCAAAAGTTCGAGACAAAAACTTTTCTATCTTTTTGCTTTTTGCTTTTTGCTCTTGCAAATTAGGGTTAGTTAGCGTAAAACCCAAAAAGCAAAAAGTTGGACGCATCAAAAACTTGAACTCGATTACAAAAATCTAAAAAATTTCGTGCTCTACGGCACTACCTACTGCGCCAAACAGCTTGCCACTCGGGCGACGCGAGAGCTTGAAAAGGGGGGAGGCCACAATGAGGACCAGGTCAGAATTGTAGGGTCGTTTCGTGCTTTTTTATGTAACTTCAAAAGCCTATAACTTTTTAATTTGGGGTATTGTGCAAAAAATGAGATTAAGAAACCCCACTTTATTTTTGATTTTCTATCCACTGGCAAAGTTTCAAGTCGATTTGACACCTGACCCAAACAACCTTCCCTTGTGAGAATTCTACCGCATTTTTCAAGTTGAATAATCCTTGTCTTTTTGTGGTAAGAGGTCGATAGATTCTTGCTACAAAACTTTGATTTTCTATTAAGCTGCTGCGACCAATAAAAAAATTACTGGGCCGGCCACTGCTCGGGGCGAGGGGCCGTGTGGGCAGTGCCCCCGGGGTTATCCTCCTCCGGCCCTTTCTCTGCTCCCTCTCTGTTGTAATGCTCTCTACCCATGTTCTACTAGCCTTTCTCTACTCTCTCCGCCATTTTCCCATTCCCTCCTACCCATCTCTTCCCTCGTCTGTTGGACCATCGACCGCTGCTGGCATAAAGCCAATTTCCGGCAGTGGCATCTCGATATTTTAAGAGTATTTTAAGTTTTAAACGGCTGTTGATGGGAGGGCTACTGTTGTTCATGGCATTAGCTTTTCTTTATATTTTATATTTTCGTTTAAGCCTGATTTTGTTACATATTTCAAAATTTTGCCAGTTTGAAACCAACTGTACGACTTGACGGTTTGTGTATTTTGTATCGCGGTTGTTTTTTTATTGAATAGCATCTATTGAGAAATGCTACTATTTAGCGTAGAAGATAGCCAGTTTGTCGACGCTAATTTGCATAAAAACCTTTAATAGGCCTTTTTGGCGCAATATTTTTTAGCATATTTTCCTTATTCAATTAGCAGATTTTTAGATATCTTTATTCATCTATTTTTGAAACTTCATAAACTTTAAAATCGGGGTCGCTTACGCCATTTAAATAACGGACTGCGAACCTAACTTTTTAAGGCGATTTTCTAGTCTAGTTTCCTTAATAAAGATGTTTTGAACCTTTTAGAAGCCAGATTAAAGCTAGAACGGCTTATTATCGTATAAAATGTTGAAAATGTCACTAACTTTCTAAAAAAATCGAT